ATAAGAAAACATACAATGCAGTTTAAATACAGAAGAAACAAATGTGCAAAAGTAACTTCAACTAAAAAACTAGCTAAAATAACCCAAAACGATCAGCGACTTCAACAACTTGTTGCCACAGTTTGGTTTTGCTGTTCTCTCGCTGTGACTGTTACAACCCCCACCAAAGCTCGTCACAAGTGGCGGTCGAATTAAGAGTCCAGGAGTTGTGCCAAAAAACATACGTTTATTGAAATAAACATGAAATAAGTTCAAAATTTAATTCAAACAAAATAACAAATCTGATGGGCCGGCCAAAACAAACAAACGGAAAGGAAGCCCTCCAGACCAGCCCACAAAGGGATGTAGGATCTGGAGGCTTCCCCTCTACCCTAAACCAATCCCAAACTAAACAAACAGAAATAAAGCCACGAAAACTAAACTACCAGTCCCATCAGAAATATGAGAAAGGAACAACCATCAAAAGAAATACAAATCAGCAGCAGTCTCTGTGGTCTGTTGCTGCCATTGCTGGAAGGTGGACAAGAGAGAGAGCGCCAAAGTTGTTTATGTTGTATGTTTATTATACAGGTTTACAAAGAAGAAAACCTAAAACACAGACAACGCACAAACAAATGGATCAGAAACCATTGAAGGGCAACAACAGCAGACCAGACAGCTCTCCTGCTGGGTCCAAAGCCTTGGAATAACAGTGAGTTATTAAGTTCCTGTGGAGGAGGCTCCTCCCACATTTTAGGGGCTGCTGCTAAAAACGCACGTCGCCCTGTTTTTAATCTGCTTTTAGGGTCAACCAGCCGTAGCTGATCAGTGGACCTTAGTAAACTTGTAAGAGGTCTGAGATATAACGAGGTGCCGACCCATTTAGAATCAGAATTAGGAACATTTTCCTTGGCATAAATTGGTGCTTACAGTACACATGAACATAAATCCACTGAACAAAATTATAAAGACAACCATTTGTTTTTGCCCCCATTCATCATGAGCTGAACTCAAAGCTCTAAGACTTTCTCTATGTACACAAAAGGCCTATTTCTCTCAAATATTGTTCACAAATCTGTCAAAATCTGTGTTAGTGAGCACTACTCCTTTGCCGAGATAATCCATCCACCTCACAGGTGTGGCATATCAAGATGCTGATCAGACAGCATGGGGATTGCACAGGTGTGCCTTAGGCTGGCCACAATAAAAGGCCTTAGGCTGGCCACAATAACACAGCTACACAGCTGATTTCTCACAACTTCTCAGAAGTGGATTAAGTGATGAAATAACAATTGAAAATTGTAAAATATAAAACTTTCTTTTCCTGGCCTCTGTCAGACGCGCAAAGATGATGCAGTGAATAGTGACGATTCTCTCTGACCAATCAGCAGTCTGCTGTGTTTTCACATCTCATTTTCGTATCGCCTCAGCTCGCTTGGAACCTTGACGGAGGTGATACGAAAAAAAGTACCTGGAAGCAGGTACAGGTACAACTTTTCCACAGTTGAAAGCCAAACAAAGGTGAGTCGAGCTGTTAATGTGCAGTGAAAAAGGGGCCTTAGAGAAAGTCTTAGATCTTTGAGTTCAGCTCATGATGAATGGCGGCAAAAACAAAAGGGTTGCCTTTTTGAATTTTGTTCAGTGTAGAAATAAGAACATATAAAAAGTAAGGAGATTTACAACTATATATATTATATTATTAATATTACAATAACACTAATGGAAAAAAGCGTGCAAAATATACGGGATAATTAACAAGTAAACATTCACAACATGAGCATAAACACAGTTGAGCGTTATGTAAAGTGTCAGGATGTGTATGAGTGTGTGTTTGGGAAGGGGGACCTGGTCCTTGTTGAGGAAGCCCACTGCAGTCGGAGAGAAGCTGCTTTTGTGGCGAGAGGTTTTGGTCCTGATGGATCGCAGCCTCCTGCCAAAAAGGGGAATCTGAAACAGTTTGTCTCCGGGGTGGGAGGGGTCAGCTGCAATCTTTCCTGCTCGCCTCAGAGTCCTGGAGGCGTACAGGTCCTGAAGCAATGGAAGAGTGCAGCCATTCACCTTCTCTGCAGAGCGAATGATGCGCTGCAGCCTGCCCTTATCCCTGCCGGTGGCAGCAGCGGACCAGATGGTGACGGAGGAGGTGAGGATGGATTCAATGATGGCGGTGTAGAAGTGCACCATCATTGGCTGTGTCCGAAATCCCCGCTCATTCACTATATAGTGGACTACATAGTGAGCTCGCCATTTTGTAGAGCTGTCCGAATGTATAGTGAGAGTTATTATACCCTATATAGTCCACTTAATGTATCCCAGAATGCATTTTGAAAAGTAGTGTACAACCGATGGTCACTAACCAAGCCCTACATACCATCATGCATTGCGCTATTAGAAAAAACTGATTGTCCGACGGCAATGACGTAATTAATGAGGGAGATGATGGTGCTCAGGAAGCGGAAGGAGTCCACAGTGGTGACTGGGGAGGCACTCTTCCAGAAGTCCACGACCATCTCCACTGTCTTCAGAGCGTTGAGCTCCAGACTGTTCTGGCTGCACCAGGTCACCAGATGGTCGATCTCCCACCTGTACGCAGACTCATCCCCACCAGAGATGAGCCCAATGAGGGTGGTGTCATCCGCAAACTTCAGGAGCTTGACAGACTGGTGACTGGAGGTGCAGCTGTTGGTGAGAAGAGCAGAGGGGAAAGAATGCAGCCTTGAGGGGATCTGGTGCTGATGGTCCTGGAGACATGTTTTCCCATCTTGACATGCTGCTTCCTGTCTGTCAGGAAGTCTGTGATCCACCTGCAGGTGGAGTCAGGCACGTTCAGCTGGGAGAGCTTGTCCTGTAGCAGGGCTGATGGTGTTGAAAGCAGAGCTGAAATCCACAAACAGGATCCTGGCGTAGGTTCCTGGGAGTCCAGGTGCTGATAGTAAATTTTGCACTTCCTTTGGAAATCAAGGTCCCAGAGTCTGGAGGAAGAGAGGAGAGGCACAGAATCCACGTTGCTTGAAGTCCAGTGTTTCCACAGTCAGTGATGGTTTGGGGTGCCATGTCATCTGCTGCTGTTGGTCCACTGTGTTTTCTGAGGTCCAAGGTCAACGCAGCCGTCTACCAGGACGTTTTAGAGCACTTCATGCTTCCTGCTGCTGACCAACTTTATGGAGATGCAGATTTCATTTTCCAACAGGACTTGGCACCTGCACACAGTGCCAAAGCTACCAGGACCTGGTTTAAGGACCACGGTATCCCTGTTCTTAATTGGCCAGCAAACTGGCCTGACCTGAACCCTATAGAAAATCTATGGGCTATTGTGAAGAGGAAGATGCGATACGCCAGACCCAACAATGCAGAAGAGCTGAAGGCCACTATCAGAGCAACCTGGGCTCTCATAACACCTGAGCAGTGCCACAGACTGATGGACTCCATGCCACGCCGCATTGCTGCAGTAATTCAGGCAAAAGGAGCCCCAACTAAGTACTGAGTGCTGTACATGTTCATACTTTTCATGTTCATACTTTTCAGTTGGCCAACATTTCTAAAAATTCTTTTTTGTATTGGTATTAAGTAATATTCTAAATTTCGGAGATACTGAATTGGGGGTTTTCATTAGTTGTCAGTTTTAATCATCACAATTAAAGGAAATTTGTTTTGGACTCTTCTGCGTCTTGTAAAGCTGCAGAAGAGTCCAAAACAAATTTCCTTCGGGTACAATAAAGTATATCTTATTATTATTATTATTATCATTATTATTGTTATCTATAAGCATACCAAAATTATTAATAACAATAGTAATAATAATAATTGTAAAAGAACATAAAAGATTAAATGTAAACACAATTTTCTGCCATAACACAGCCGAAGGTGAGCAGCTGTTAAAATCAGCTTGGACTCGGCGCTGCAGCCTTTTTCATACAGTTTATGGCGCAGCCACATCAGGAGAAAAGGCTGCTCTTCTCTTTCTTTCAGTGTGTTGCTTCCGTATGTGGCTGCAAGCAAAACCGTACAGTCATTTTTTAAGTTGCGATCTGGTTGCAAAAAGTATCGATTGAAGTTCTGGTTTGACTGGAGATGTTTCGATTCTACTCGATAGCGGGCTGTTTCTGTCTATACCATAAAGGTATGAGCAGCAACTCCCATCCCCAGTCTCTGTGGAGGTGGGCATGTCCTGCTTTCAGTTGCAGTGTGGAGAGGTGGGAGGTGGCTCAGGTGTCAGCTGTCTCCTCCTGCATTCCCTCTAACTGCAGGAGTGTGCTGGATGTCCTCTGCCAGCCTGCACAGAGTCACAGGGGAGACGCTCGCACCTTTAGGGCGCCGTGTGCTACAGTCTCGTTACCACATAAGTGAACAATGAAATGTCCTCATGGAATCCTCAAAACCCAGTACCTGGGTCTAGTTGGTGTCTCCTACCCTCGCACGTATTATCTTCCGGTTGAAACTGAGCAAACATCTACGGTCGTTGGGTTGTTGCTCCTCTCTGGAGGTCAGAAAGCTGAGCAGCTCATCTTCATCCAGAAGGGGTTTTTGCTCCTTTCCTGCCGTCAGTATTGCCCTTTTAATTCAATAACAACTGTTTTTGCAGATGTAGTTACTGAGTGGGACCTCTGTGGGATGTCTCCTGTCTGTGGTCCCAGCAGGTTTATTCCACATCTGCATTTGTGACGGTAGTGTCCTCTGATGTGGACAAACGGTGCGCTCCATCCAGAAAGAAGCATCATGTTAAAGTTCCTTCCTTTTACATCCATCTCTTCCTTGAAAACCTGGAGTATGATGAAACTAATCGATGGCATAGATGTTGATGAAGGCGTTATATTTTTCCACATAATAAATGACACACATTAACAATGTCTTGATAAAAGACAATGTTTGGTGAAGGACATAAAAGTCTGTCAGACACAGACCATCAGGGTTGACTGTTTCATGGCATTTGTCTGTTTGTTTAAGGTAAGTAGACGGTAAACTGTGCAGAAAAGACAAATTGACTTTAGGAAAGTCGGTTTGACAGTTCAAACAAGTCTTAACCGGTCTTTATTTCAGAGCGGCAGGAGAGCAGCGGTTCATCTCAACATCCCTTCATTTGGTAAATTCAGCCTGGGCCTGTGGGGAGCTTCTCTGAAAACACCATGTGGAGAATTTGCAGCAGAGCTCTGGTAAGTTCAAACCTTCAGCTAATTCTACCTGATGTCCATAATGTAGCTCCCTGAAAACACTTTTTAAAATCTTTAATGTGGTAACTCATTTCACCCACGCAGGGACTTTGTTCTGCAAGATCCAAACTCATTTCATCAGAGAACAGAACACAAGAGGAAACATGATGTTATAGCATCAGAAATAAATCACACTGTTGGTTCTCTTTCAGGGATCCAGAGCAGATCCCTCTGCTGTTTTAATACTTCTGAACTATGAGATTTGTTTGTTGCTTTAAGTTTCTAAGCCAGGAGTTTCAGAGCTTTTGCTGTAATATATCAGGGGCCAGAAGGAAATGATCCCGGGCCATGTCTGTTTCAGTTCATCAGGCTGAGACGCTTTCTTCTCTTTCCATTAATTTTATATTGCTCTCAGTTCTAAAACCTCTTTTTCTTGTTCCTTCTTGTTAAGACATAATTTTGTCACTCTCCCTCCTCATTATTTCTGGATAATTCTTAATTACTTATTTTTTGAAGTCTTGCAGTGGAGCCACTAACTGGTGTGACAGGATCAGGGTCAGATCACATGGGTTGAGCAGCTTTTTACAGCCCGTCCTCACCAGAAAACACACGGGTGGGATGTTCAGCTGCTTATTAAGAGGCTGCTCCCTCTAGTGGCCCTATGGAGGAAGTCCAGTATGAAGAGCGACAGTCTGTGGAAGAATGACAGGTCAAACCCAGGACTTTCACACGGAGCTGAAGTCCTGCAGAGTTTGAATTAAATAGTTTCCAACCTAACAAGAAAGTAAAAGGAAGATCTGTTGAATATTTAAGTTTTATTTCCAGTCGTGTTTCATTTAGTCTCAGCCGTGCTCTACTGTATGTAGGTGATTCCACGAGATGGTCTTCCGCTATGTCTATGAGACTATTGACTATTTTATTGATCCAGAATAATTGCAAAAAGATTTGCGGGCTGAAATCTTCTCTTTAATACGTCTTGAATTCCATAAAGGTCAATGACTCAGTCTGTTTCAGAACAGGCAGAGGAAAGTAAGTGTGAGCTGTAGATGAAGAATCTGATAAATAATGTGCAGACTTAGGATAAAAGAGGATTTACTGTAAACGGGGGGAAAGAGAGGTGGATGGTGATGCACTGAAACTTTACCTCCTTAAAGTCTATGTAAATTTTTTTAATTAGGGATCCAAGAAGCAAAACTGCTGGAACCCTATTGTTTTTCTTCTCTTTCTTTCTCTCCGCTGGAAGTCTTTGGGCAGCAAAAACTGCTGGACGAAAACTCACCAAAATGTGCAGATGGGTTGTAAATTCCACCCACTACTCAGGCAAAATAAAGGCCCTCGTAGACCTCATGGTGGCGCTATAACAATCAACTTTAGGTTTTTGCAATTGTCTCCAACAGCTTTTTTTTTTTTTTATCTCTGGATTCATCTGCATCTTTGCTCCGATGGTCTTCTGCTCTAAAAATGTCAAGTTATACGACTTTTTATCACTTTTCGACCTGAAACTTTGGCAGGATCATCCACGGACGTCGCGGATCAAAAGTTTCAAAAGGTTTACTTTTGTGCATTTCTGCACAATTTTACATAAATGACTGTAAATCAAAATTGGCTTAAGTTATTGTCACCAAACTTGACGTGTCTGCTCAGATGCTTGTCCTGGGCTTTGCTGAGCAGTCCTGTGATATTCTTCCACTACCTCATAATTCGTTGCATGGATTCGTACAAAATTCGAATTGTGCGATCAAGGGTCACTACTCAGTTCACGCATAAAATTTGGTAATGACTGCTCAAAGTGGGTGTGGCTTATTACAATAAATGTAAATTTCTAGACGTTTCATTCCAAACTTCAAAAAATCTAACAAAATCATCTGTACGTCCTCGAGAGCTGAAATATTTTCAGCACATCCGCTGATTTGCCTCACTGCAACCTATGGCCAACTCAGAAGTCAGTCACTCGATATTTTTCAGAATATGCTAATTCTATTAACATCTGTATCTCCACAAGTCTTTCTTCAAACGTTACCAAAATCAACACAGACATTCTCTAGATGGCTGATACCAATTGTTTTAAGGGGTTTTCAGATCGGTCAAACAGTGAGTCTGCAGTGATCTTCAGTATGTTGCTGTAACTTGTACAGTATGAACAACATTTTCTTTTTAACTCAGTTTTGGATCAAATGCCACCAAAATAATTAACAACACTCCAAAAACTCCCAAAAATGATTTTTTTTCAGAATTATCTCAAGTTTAAACTGACAAAACTATCAGGTCTGGCACATGTGACGTCACTGAGCCACCTGCTCTGCAGATCTACAGGTCCTGGGTTCAAATCCCCAGGTGACTGAGTCAGACTTTATGACAATAAGGGTGTTCAGATCATGAGTTTAAGGTGTCTATTTTATTTTTCTCTGCTTAAAAGTATTTGTGCAGCTTAAACTTTAAACGCTGGAAACAAAACGTCGCAGGTGGGTTGAGCATGTCACCCAGCAGTCAGGTACATATGATGACACGCTCTGATCTGAAGGTGATGCTGTAAAAAGGGTTGCGGTAAGGCTGTTCCTGTGTCTGCTCCAGATAGGCAGCTCTCAATGTTATTAGTATGAACTATGCATGTATTTGAGTCCATTCTGGTGTCTCTCAGGTAAAGGTGGGGAGGGTGAGGACTCTGGTTGCCGGCAGACACCTGAGCCACCAGATGGGACTACCCAGCGTGCCCGTCCCCCCTCTGCAGCAGACCTGTGAGCTCTACCTCAGCATCCTGGAGCCCTTCTTGGACGTGGATGAGCTGAAGCGCACAAAAGAGCTGGTGAAGGACTTTCAGAAAGCAGGAGGGGTCGGAGAGAGACTGCAGAGAGGCCTGGAGAGGAGGGCACGCAGCACTGAGAACTGGGTGAGTTCAACAACTACACCGGCCGCTGATCCGGTCCTGAGAGGAACATCCTCCTCTCATTACTGGGACCTTCAGACACACAGAGCTCACTAGATCTGAAGTGCAGAAAATAGATCACATTTATCTCCACTACAAGTTACCTTCTGCTAACTGAACGTTTTCCTGAGCTGTACGATGATCAGTCTGCAAGGAGAGAAACCTTAATGTGAAATGAATGACAGGGGAAGAGCTGCTGAGATACGCAGTCAGATGCTTCATGCAATGTTCTGATCGTCCACTTCAAATTCAGGATCTCATTAAGGCAGCATGAAACAGCTTCTTTACAAACTCCAGAGACTTAATCCCTCCGGTCCTCCTGATTATCTCTGTGTGTTTGTGTTTGTAGTTAACAGACGATTATGTGAAGAGAGATTTTCTCACTGAACGGATGTCTTTGGTGGTTCTCTCCAACCCTGCCATAGTTTATCCCCGAAAGGTCTTCAGAGAGAAACAGGATCAGATAAGGTACGTGCACACACACACACACACACACACACACACACACACACACACACACACACACACACACACACACACACACTCTTTCCTGGTTCCTTGAAGGTGCTGGAGGATGCAGTGAAGGGCCAGGTTGGTTCTGTGGGAGAATTGCAAGGGGTCCAGGACTTGGTTTGTGATGGATTTTCAGGTGTGACACTAAAAGATTTGCTTCAGTCGATAAACTTCATTCAGAAGAAACTCAAAGATGAGATGCAGACGGGAGCTTCAGGACCAGCTGCCACTGTATTTTCACATTATGTAGTCTGAGCTGCCTCTCGCAGCCACACTGAAAACATGGCCACTCCCAGCATGCATTGTGAGAGAGAGAGAGAGAGACATAACCTGGTGTCAAGAAGAGCCTGTTTTCTGCCACTGCTCCTCCACACCTGGTCAGGCCAGGAAGTGGCCCCCATCACTTCCTCCAGCAGTTTCTCCAGGAAGCGTAGAGATTTAGCTCCCCCCTGATCTCAGACCTGCTGGCTCTTGGAAGGATTCTCTGCACTCTGCCAGAGCTGAGCTCTCTCCTGACATTTACAGCAGTGCTCCATGTGCAGACGACAGACTGGAAAAAGGACTGGTCCTGGACAGACCCATTGTTCCCAGGTCTGTACTGTGGAGGTCAGTCAGTCTCTGTCCTCCTGACACAGCTGAGATCTTGCCTCTGTGGCTCTGGAGGCTAAGTTAATAACCCCGATGATGTCCTGGTGAAGTCTGTATTGTGTTGAACTTCCTCTTTAACATGAACGACACCTTTTCTCTGCTCAGGTGTGCTGCAGAATACATCAAGGGCTTTTTGGATGTAAAGACTTTGATTGACACGTGAGTACAGAGCTTGAAATGTTCTCCTTTTCCCAGACAGTTTTATTCATTTCTCTGTGATGATTTGTTGTTTCATACAACATAATAATGAAGTATTTTGATACCAGCTGCAGATAATCAGTTTATCACCTACAAACATCAAACATCATGCTCTCTGTCTTTATAAGAACACTCTCATCTGTGTATTCTGACTTTGGATCAGGACTAGTCTTTCTGTTTTGCACTAAAATCTTTTTGTAAAACGATTATGAAACATAAAAAAGAAATGGCTAAACCTGGGATGACTTCCTCCTCAGTTTGTTTTCATTCAAACGTTCTTAAAAATATCGTGTGTGCATCAAACACGTCATATCTGCGGGAATCTGTGCTCTGACTCTCAGAGCTACCATCTAACTGTGTGCAGGTAAACCTGAGTCAGAGGTGGGGGAGTTACAGAGCTACAGCTGTCGGAGCTGTAAATGATTTTGATTGGCTGTTAAATGTTTGTTTTGCAGCAATACTCTACCAGCTGAGTACATGAAAGGGAAGCCGCTGTGTATGAAGCAGTACCAGCAGCTGATCTCATCCTGCCGTGTCCCAGGTCTGAAAACGGATTCGGTGGTGTTCTACGCCAAGAGCTCCAACCCCCCAAAACACATCACTGTAGTACACAACAACCAGGTGGGGAGCTCTTCCCTTTGTCCTGAACAGACCCTGATCTTTCCTTTCAGAATAAATTTACTCTTCAGGTTTATTTATGCAAATGCGCAGAATCCTTTGATAAGTCAGTTCAGGGTCTAGCTGTGCGAGCAGGTTTTGGTTTCCTGTTTCCATTGAAATCCAGGACTTTTCAGGTCACTAAAATGTCTGGAAACTCCCTGAGAGGCTCATACTGAGTCTTGTGAAGAACGGTTTGCTAAAGAAGGGTCACAGGACTTTACTATTAATCAAATTACCACAAAGTCATTTCCACACAGTTAGCCTGGGGCCTTGGGGTCCCCGTCTGTCTTTGGTCCCGGGGCGTTGCTCAGTTGGTAACCCACTCTTGCTTTTGCATGTGTTCTCTCCTTGGATTCAGTTCTTTGCGTTGGATGTGTACAACAGTGACGGGACCCCGCTGACATGTGACCAGCTCTGTGTTCAGCTGGAGAGGATCTGCTCCTTCTCACTACAGACCGACACCGAGCCTGTGGGCATCCTCACCACCCAGCATCGGGACATCTGGACCAAAGCCTATATCAACCTGATCAAGGGTGAGCTCAGCTCTGTCTAAGAAAAGGCTCTTCTAGATTTCAAATGATCTATACCAGACTCTGCCTGTTGTTGGAGCGACTGAGTGAGCACCAGCAGCAGCCGACGCTCTCCCTTTATGATAGCATGATGATTGTGTTAATCTCATTACTTGAATTTAACACCATTCATTAATCCTCGTGGTCACGGCAGGCACACAGCCTGGCTCCCTGAGAGTCCCTGTTTCCCTGCATGGTAACTTTCTCCCTGCTAACCGCCTCGGCCCACCGGGACAGTCCGGGTGGCCAGTCCAGCCCTACCTAATGCTTCATGGAAACACGTGACACAGACTTCTTGTATACAGTTAGGACACTCCTGCTGTAGTGCTGCCATCTCTGTGACCTGCACCTCCTTTGGTGGAGTGTTCCTTTAAAGTCCAACTGAAATGAAAAAGCATTTTTCAGTCTGTTACAGCAGAAATATCTGCTCTGAAACCACATGCTCAGTGTTCTCCTTTAAAGATAAAACTCAGAAACCAAAGGGAGGAATTTAGATTTGACATGTTTTACATGCACTCATTTGTTGGGATACTGTTCTCCGTCTACGTAGAACTTGTTTCCATACAGCAAATTAAACCTTTGCGGAAAGCAGTAACATCATTGTTGTATCATCGACGGACTGAGACACTAACAGCCAGACGGCAGCTACACAAGAACAAACACATGATACAAATGCGCTTTCTGCTAAAGTCTCCTGCTTTGAAAGAGGATTACCTTGTGAACAACATGTGAAGATAAACTAAGTGTCAGTTCATCACGTGAAAACGTGTAGAGTTGTTAAGCTGTTGCCGTCTGGCTACATGATAACATGATGTTTCTCTGTGTGCACGTCCTTGATGTGTTCAGATAAGACCAACAGAGAGTCAGTGTCAGCCATCCAAAGCAGCATCTTCACAGTGTGTTTGGACGGAGCGATGCCCCCGGTGTCGGAGGAGAGGTATCGCAGCAGCGTCATCCTCTGGCTCCTGACTGGAGGAGGCAGCCAGTGCAACAGTGGCAACCGCTGGTTTGACAAGGGGCTGCAGGTGAGGTGACACACATGTGCACTTTATGCAGAGATCAGCTGTGGGACCAAGATCACTAACCAGAACATTCAGCATCAGCATCACCAGAGCAGCACAGTCACACATTTACAAACAGAAGCATGAGGAGCTGGGATGTAATGCTGATGTTTGGTTTATGTTTCTCATCTGTTTTCCAGCTCATTATTGGAGAAGACGGGATATGTGGTTTAAACTTCACACATGCCACTGCTGATGGTATAACCGCAATCACGCTGTCTGAATATGTTATAGCTGACATGTAAGTAGACCAAAACTGAATGAGCTTCTGGCTTTGGGTGTTATCATGCATTGTTGTTATCACATGACTGAAAGTTCAGGCAAAGTGTACACAGAGACTTTACAGCCAAAACATACTGATAGCAGAACGGGCAGGTGGAACTATTGAAAGGTTGTTTCTCTTTACGTTCAGTGTTATTGGTGAGTTTCCATCGCTCTCAGAAACAATCAAAAGTTGGTGCGTCATACTTTGTTTGCATTGTTACGTCCTTCTGGCAACAATAACAGCAGCCATCTCTGCAACACTTTGGCTGTTTGCGCCTTCCTTTCAAACGTATTAAATACAGATGCTGTTGCACTCACATGAAATACTTTGCACACTAAAACTGAAACGCCCCAAATTGCATATTCATTTAAGCAAAAATACTAAATGAACAACAGGTGCTATCTGGCACTTTTTCTGCGTGCAAACCGTTAGTAGATCAGCTTATGTGTGAATTTGGGAGTGATATCAAGTTTGCACAGGTTTTTACACACCTAAACCTTTAGGAAATCTGGCCCCTAGTGTAGAAATTTTGCCTAATGGCGTGTAGTCCAGTAAAAGGATTATTATTACTAAATAGTAGTCAGATAAAGGGTACATTTAAGATATAAGGATTATATCTATAAATGTTTAATTTCAATGCCATATGCCAGAACATATTTAATTATGACATGCAGTTGATGGTTTGGTTTTTCTTTAAATTCCATTTTGTTACATCGTATTCATAATTTACTTTCTCTTCTGTATAGAACCAGGAAAAAGCCACAGATGATGCGGCCTACTGTGGAGCCTTTACCCATACCCCAGAAACTACACTTCAACATCACACCTGAGGTCACGAAGGATATTGAGGAGGCCAAGCATGAAATGGACATGTGAGAGCAGCTTTTAGTTGTCGTACATAGATACCCAGTGATCACAGTGATAGAAACCCAGAAGTAGACTTCATGTCATGATTACAGCAGTTACATTTAGCTTTTATCCAAAGTGAGTTCCAGCTGGAGGCCACCAGAGCCGGCAGCGTCGCGTTCCGCTCTCTGTGCAGCTTCGTATCCCACCAGAAGCGTTTTGCTGCCCGATGTTATTGTTAATTTGTCCTTTTTTGTGTCTCTCCCGTGCATGGCTCTGTCGTTCCGCCCTCTGCAGGGCTTTATACCCCAGAGGAAGCATTTCAGATGCAGATTGTTTTGCAGGCCTGATTTTGCTAATTTGCTCAGATTTTCCTGATTTAGTCATTTGTCGTTGATTTTTAAGGTTCTACTGTGGCTCAGGAGGCTGTGTAGTTAGAGAGTTTCTCTTTTGTCTGCTTTAACTGTGTTTATTGTTGATATAAGATCGGGAGTTTTATTTTGAAAATGTACTGGATTCTGTTTGCCATTTGTGTGTCTGACTTCCTGCCTGGCTAATCTGCTCTGTGGAGCTTGACACAGCCAAAACTAGAGGAGCCAGAGCGTAGAGTCAAGAGCATTGTCCATAATGACCGCGATCAGCTAATGCAGCCATGCCCCTTGGAATCCAGCAGGCCTAGGTCCAGGTTTAGGTAGCAGAAGCTAAACAACATGGCAACTTGGAAGATCTGGCAGGGAGAAATGGAAGTGGACAGGAATGTCAGTGAGTGACGAGGGAATGATGTGCAGGTGGGGAGGGGGGAGGAGAAGAGTGAGGCGATTGCAGGGGAGATGGAGTTAGCAGGATCAGCAATGATGGGAGGGACAGAGAGAAAGAATGAGCAAAAACAGGGCTGAAGCAGATGTGACAGAATCAATAAAGGTGGTGACGTTGATTTTTGCATCTTTGTTAAAGTTAAGTTGCCATTTATGTTAACAGACTCAGCTTCCCCACTAATCCTTCAGGTCAGTGTTTTAGGCCTTTCCAAACTGACCTATTATTCCACTGGGCTTTTTTCTTATTTCTGCAGTGACCTTATTCCTCAACATAAGAACATTTTACATGTCAGCATGGAGCATTTAAAATCACACACATTTGACTGTGTGTGATTTTAATTGCTTTTTAAAATCCTCTAAAACAGCACCTTGTATGCAGTCTGACCAGATAATTTATTTGATCTTAGTTAGCATCTTAGTCCTTGGTATTCCCACATTATGTGTGTATTGTTCCTTGGAAACCCATCACCATCTTGTAAAACGTAATCACCTTCTCTGGATCCTCTCAGGATAGATTAGTGTTATTCTAGCAGCTGGCCAAAAGTATCTACAAGCAACTTTAGAGGTTTCCTGTCTGTTTTTCCAGACGATATTAGAAGCATCTGACTTCGTTAACTAAATGACCTTAATGCTCCAAGCTGCTTTGGCAGAGGCTAGGCGGTGATGGGTTATGGACCAAGGTGCAGGCTGAGATGAGTTTTCGGTCAATGATGGAAGATGTGCAGAGTTTCTGCTGTCCTGATGTCGATGTGGAGAGCGTTAGTTGATTAGAACGAATAGTGGGGGACTGCATTGTAATTTTGTCATTATGGTCACTATGAATTATTACTAACACGACATTAAGCAATGATTTCCTTTAAAACAAAGAATTAGTATGGCATCTCTTTCAGCGTGTTTTTAAGGCCATCTATCCGCCAACTGAAGCGCAACAGAAGATGGGTGATGCAGCAGGACAATGACCCAAAGCACCCCCCCAGTTGTTGCTTCTGTGTAACTATGCTATGACAAAACTCACTCTTGGGGGTTCATATGTGGACTCCAGTCGAAGGCTCTGCTGCAGGCGCTGCCATCTTTAGCAAGCTAACAATGTGAATCACAGCAGGGCGAGTTAAAGGAAGCTGCTGCTTCATCTGGCCATACAGAGGCTTCCCGTCCATCTGACATGAACTAGTACTGCAGGAAGTGTGTAATGGATCACATTTTCAGAATAAATGAGACTCTTATACTTATCATTAGGCATATAAATATGCTGATTAACATTTCTGCAATCATCCGTGAAACCAGGCTCACTGTCAAATTTCTTCCTTCCCCCACAGACTGGTCCGAAACGCAGATCTGAGCGCTGCAGTGTTTGATGACTTTGGGAAAAATGTCATGAAGGCCCACAAGATGAGCCCCGATGCTTTCGTACAAATGGCTCTCCAGCTGGCCTACTACAGGTGAGCTGCTGAAGGGAGATGACCGTTTTCTGCATTCTAAACCAAAGAGCTTTCACAGATTATACAGTCAGGCAGCAACAGACGTGTTGAATCCACATTTCAAAAGCCTTCACGTTGAACTCTAAATCAGGGCATGAGTGATCAGGAACCACAGGCATTACAGAGGCTGGAGTGATGGATAATCATCAGCTCAATCAGGGGATAGTTGTTCAAACATTATCCCCACTGTGTTTGCAGAGCTACAGCTTTTATTCACCATTCACCATCTTTGTGTTGGAACAGTCTGTTAAAATATTTCTCCCCTTCTTTCGTCAGGATGTACCAGCGGTGCTGTCCAGTATTGGAACCTGCCTCCCTGCGAACGTTCAGACTCGGCCGTCTAGCTATGATGAATTCAACCTCCGGAGCTTCAGCTTCCTTCGTCAAGGCCTTCGATGACCCCAGAAAACAGGTTTGACCGTCAGGGTCGGCCGCTTTGGATCATACTGTCGCTGCTGCACAGCATTGATAAACACTGATAAACACAAACATCATGTCTTCTTCCTGTCTGCAGAACTCAGAGAAGGTCGATTTATTGGAGAACGCTTTAAAAGCACACAGACGGAACATTAACATGGTGAGTATCATTCACAGCACCGCTCAGTTCTGGAGTTCAGTGTAGAGCTGTTCGGGTCCTGAGGCATGCCAGAGTTTTAATATTCACAGTCTGCTGGAAGCCAGTGATGGGGGTAATGTGGGGTTTCTCTGTTTGGCCTCATGGTGGCGCTGTTGTCTCACTGTTAGGTTGACTAAATAAATGAGCTTCCTGTCACAGTAACATGATGGTGCAGCACTAGGGTGTCTGAGATGAAGATGAACTGATTTTGTGCCATTTCTGAATCATTTAGAAGCAGGACCGGAGCGTGAGCACGATGCCGTTTAAGATTAGACAACGGTCAAGATACCATCTGAGCAGCTTTCCAAGAGATGCTCCCTCATCTGCCTCGCTGCTACAAACATGTAATCAGTTGTAGATTGACGTTGAACTGTCTCCATCCTAACAGGCGATCAGCGGACACTCTGTATTCGGACACCTCCTGGGTCTTAAGATGCAGGCTGTTGAGGAAAACAGCGCCATGCCTGATCTCTTCACAGACTCCTCCTACTCTAAAGCCTTTGACTTCAGAGTCTCTACCTCTCAGGTAAGGCTCAGGGATGAAACTGACTATACGGTCCACTCTGCTAACATGGCTAACGCCTCCCCTCCAGCAGTGGCTCCGAGGTGTTGTGGCATCTCTGATAGGTGCCACTCCAGACTGTGGCTGATGAGAGACTGAGAACTAATATTATAGAGACAGTTCCCTCCCTGAGCAGCACCAGACCCCACAGATCCAGGCCCCCTAGATCCGGACTCCATATGTCCAGACCCCACAGCTCCTACAGAAGGAGAGAGCTGAGGGACAAGATGGCACAATACTACAGGAAGGGGAAGAAGTGGAAGTCATATGCATTAAGGGGACACAGGGGCCGATGTGACGCCCACTTTGCTTTTTGTTCAAAATCTCAGTCTGACATTGGTTTCTTCTGCAGCAGGGGTCGGCAATAGGCGGCCCGCGGGCCAATTTCAATTATTAAAAAATACTTTGATAGCGGCGGGGTCATGGCAGCAACTGTAACTCACAGAATCATTTCCTCTTAAGTGATTGTGCCCTTAAAATAAAAGCGTGAGAAAATTATACGCAGCACTGCTTTATTTCGTGTTGAATTGAAAGCTTTTACTTTGAAAAGTTCTGAAAGAGATTCAAAAGAGTCTGTGGCATGCTTGACACACCTCTCAGGAAACGTGAGAGTGGATTCCCCTGAAAGAGAAGCGCAGGAACTTCCTCTCCTGGAGATGCTGTGAAATGGAAATAAGCGTCTGTAGGTTAACGGATGCGGATCAAATACTGAAACACATAGGATGGGGGTTTATCACATGCACAAGTTGGTAATAATAATAATGATGATAATAGTAATAAATAATAAGCATTTGGCCCAGTCGGCAGTGGCCATCCTGGTCCTGAGATGGGCTCACCGACCCGATCAGATCAGAGGTTACAAATTGCGACATTCAGTCAAAATTAGTGGTGGGAAGAAAACGGTGAGAAACAAATGTACTTTGGGTTTGTAACCAAGTGTGCAGTAGAGAATGACAGCAGACTCGGGTGGACAGTTCTAAACGTGTGCTCTTTGGAAACCGGTCAGCAGCGTTTGCCAGTTACTGCTCATATTGTTGTAAGTAGTGAATGCGTGTTCGTAACCATTGCTATATATGTCATAGGTCGCACGCCTCCGGAGCAACGAGGGGTTAAGTGTTTTGCTCAGGGACACATTGGTGTCTCACAGTTGATTCCAACCCGGGTCTCTCACACCAAAGGCATGTGTCTTGTCCACTGCGCCATCACCACCGCTTCGTGAGTGGGGATGCGTGGTAATGTGGGTCCAGTGTGGCTGCAGTGCCAGGGCTGAATCTTTGTCCCAGTCTGGCCTGTTCACAGCGTTTGATGGTTGGCTGGTCTGTCAGTCTTGGAAGAGTAATGCTCTGGCCATGTGGCTCTGCACGCCTCTATACATGAAGACATTTGTCATGGTGACTGCCAAACACTGTTAAAAAATACTTGCTGAGTCCCAAAAGAAGATTAATTTCATCTGGCAGAATCACATATCAGGGGTCCCAGAACCATACCTAACGGTGCACTCTCACTTCTGTCTCTGTACCAAGGTAACGTTAAAGTTTGGCTGTCTGCCGTGTGTTGGCCCTGAAGATCCCGGGATCTACAAAGTGACCTACAGCATCATGGACGATCACATTGACTTCATGGTGTCCACCTTTGAAACTTCTGACACCTGCAAAGAAACGAATGCACCCCTTCTGCTCCAAGCCTTGAAGGACGCACTGTTGGACATGAGGACCCTGCTGGACCAAACACCAAGAGCCAGACTGTGAGCTTAATCCAGACTCACAGCAGACGTTGGATATTTAGTTTGATTTCTTGCAGAGTTAGAGGAGAAGACCTTTTAAATGTAAGATTACATCCAGCAGCCGGTTAGCTTAGCTGAGTAAGGGAGACCGGGGATGGTTCGAACACGGGTCACTTCTAACATGTCCAGTTTCTCCAATCAGGAACATGTTACAAACCACCTGATTCACTCTGCCTATGCTCAGTTTAGTCCTTATTCCACATGGGGAAAAAGAAGCAGCTCAGACAATTTTAGAATGAAGAAATCATTTTGATGTGAGAGTCTGTTTTCTTGCAGGTTGTTAATACTGCTGTTTTAGCTGTAAGTTAAGCTAGTTCCTGGCTGCAGGAGTTGGTTGTATATATGTTTTATTTAAATTTCCGTATGTGTCCGACGCACACAGTAATGTTTAATTATTTTATTATCATGTTCAACAGTCATTGTCAGACCTGCAGCCTCTCTGTGGGCCATGAGGCCGGACGTCTGTCACCACTGTAACACACACACTCAGATCCAGCTGGTGTACTTTATTATAATGTTCACTACTATTACTGACAGTAACTAATATACTTGGAACCCCCCCCCCCCACACACACCAATTATGTTTAAACAGCATTCAAGTGTTGAATAAAAAGCTTTTACCATCATGTGTCTCTCATATACCTTCTTACATAATGGGAAGTGATGAACAACAAGGTAATTCAAAGTGCTACATAAAACATAAAAGCAACAGGGAAATATAAAAAAAGCTTAAAAGTTTATTATTTTTATATATATGTTGGAACTGGTAGTGTGGTGTCCGAACGATAATGCTGCGATGATGTGTTGAGAAGAAATCCGCTTGACACTGTTCTTGATTATAAAAGTTTATTACATCAAAGAATTCAGCATCAATTACAAGCTCTGCAGCAGCTTGGAGAGTGACCCAGCCCGATGGCCACTCTGTCTCTCTGTACATCGAACACAGCTTATATAGGACATGTTTAGGTCTCTGCTAAAAACCATATAAGGGCACAGTCCCTTCATACACACTAATCTCTACTCCCCCTACCACTGGGTCAGAGGTCAAATTCCATAGGAGGGTTCACTCTTTGCACACCCATCAATCATTACTTCCCCTTAAGGGTTCACTGTGCCTCTCTCCAGCTGCAGAGTATTATGTTAAACTGTAATGGTCAAATGCACATATGTTATACACCACAGTAGGCTAGCAATGGGGCTGACCATCTTAGTCCGAATAACAACTTTCAGTTATTTATAGACATTCCCACCATGAGCAAGCACTTGGCCACAGGGACAAGGAAAACCTCCCTTTAACAGGCAGGATCCTGGAGCAGAACCAGGACTCAGGGTTGGTGGTCCTTTGCCTCGAACGGTTGGGTTGAGAGGGGTTGCAGGGGATTGCAGTAACCCTATAGCAGCATAACTAAGGGATGGTTCAGGACTCACCTGAGCCAGCCCGAACTATAAGCTTTATCAAAGAGGAAAGTCTTAAGCCTACTCTTAAATGTGGAGATGGTGTCTGCCTCCTGAACCCAAACTGGAACCTGGTTCCACAGGAGAGGAGCTTGATAGCTGAACGCTCTGGCTCCTAGTCTACTTTTGGAGACTCTAGGAACCCAAGTAACCCTGCATTCTGGGAGTGCAGTGCTCTGGTGGGGTAGTAAGGTACTATGAGTTCTTTAAGATAAGATGGTGCCTGACCATTAAGAGCTTTGTAGGTAAGAAGAATGATTTTAAATTCTATTCTGGATTTTACAGGTAGCCAATGCAGAGAAGCTAAAACAGGAGAAATATGATCTCTTTTCCTGGTTCCTGTCAGAACACGTGCTGCAGCATTCTGGATCAGCTGAAGAGTCTTAATGGACTTTTTCGAGCAGCTTGATAATAAGGAATTGCAGTAATCCAGCCTAGAAGTAACAAATGCATGGACTAGTTTTTCTGCATCATTTTTAGACCGGACGTTCCTGATTTTTGCAATATTACGTAGGTGAAAAAAGGCGGCCCTTGAAATTTGCTTAATATGAGACTTAAACAACATGTCCTGATCAAAGATAACTCCAAGATTCCTCACAGTGGTGCTGGAGGCCAGGGCGATGCCATCAAGGGAAACTATATCTTTAGATAATGCGTCACAGAGGTGCTTAGGCCCCAGAACAATAACTTCAGTTTTATCTGAGTTTAACATTAGAAAATTACAGGTCATCCAGGTTTTAACATCCTGAAGGCACATTTGAAGTTTAGCTAACTGATGAGTTTCATCTGGTTTAATAATATATTTCCTGATAATATTTGCCTAAAGGAAGCATATATAAAGTGAATAGGATTGGTCCGAGGACAGATCCTTGAGGAACTCCATGACTAACTTTGGCGTGCATGGAGGACTCATCGTTAACATGTACAAACTGAAATCGATCTGATAAATAGGACTTCAACCAGCTTGGAGCGGTTCCTTTAATGCCTATGTTCCTGTCTCTGCAATAGGACCAGATGGTCAATGGTATCAAAAGCAGCACTAAGATCTAGTAAAACCAGTACAGAGACAAAGTCTGATGCAATTAGGAGGTCATTAGTAATTTTCACCAGTGCTGTCTCTGTGCTATGATGAGCTCTAAATCCTGACTGAAAATCCTCAAATAAACTATTGCTCTGTAGAAAATCACACAGCTGTTTAGCGACTGCTTTCTCCAGAACCTTAGAGAGAAATGGAAGGTTAGATATAGGTCTATAGTTGGCTAAAACATCTGGATCAAGGGTGGGATAGTAACGCTTAATGTGCCCAGCTGTTTCTAAGGTTTCTGAGCTCAGAGATTAGTCGGTGCCAGTTGAGGGCAGGAGATGATTCATTCTGTCTTTAGTATTTAGAATTTTATCATTAAAGAAGCTCATGACTGCTGTGATCCCCTGATAACTGCACATCTACAGTGATGGCTTTAATGAGTTCACCGGGAACTTCCAACCCACAAGTAAGTCTGTTTCTCTGTTGTAATTTTTTTTATTTAACCAGGAGAGTTCCATTGAGATTAAGAACCTCTTTTACAAGGGTGACCTGGCCAAGACAGGCAGCAGTGTATAAAAAAGAATACAAACACAAAAGGTGCAGACAAATAACACAAAAGACTAGTAAGCTTACATTTCATGAAGCCATTTAAAAAAAAATTTACAATCTAAGAGCATTTACAAGAGCATTGTCCTTGTTTGTTGCCTAACTTGCTGTCATCAGGGCTTAAAGCAAGAACATTTTCTGTGCCTGAAATACGTTCGGGTAAAACGTTTGTGCCACCACCTATAATCTATGATTGAAGTGGAAAAAGGGCTGGGTGATGTGACCAGAAATGTTATCAAATTTCATATCATTGGAAATCGATAATTATCACAATAAATGTTAGATCATTGTTTCTTTAGGTTTAATGGCTGATTTTTGCTCCTGAGTGAAAGTTGGAGTTAACAGACAGTTAATTGTGCCACTTAATGCCAAACAGTGGACACTTCACAAATCTAAGCGCAGAACATTCAAAACAATTATGACAAAATCATTTTTCAACAAATATGCATCAGGAACATTAGGTAAAATCTGTTTTCAGTCCCTTTTCCTCAACAAAATAAATATCTAAATAGAAAAATACGTGCTGATTTGTCCATGATTCAAATGAATTAAATTAAACATTTATTGAACATTTGTTATATTGTAATTGAGGAAAATTATATTGAGATAATTATTGTTTTATTGCCCAGCCGTGCTAGTCTTTTCAACCACTCAAAGCGCTTTTACACTACATCTGCATTCACCATTCACTGACATTTATACACTGAGCCTAAATGCTCAAACAGAAACTAACATTCACACACATTCATACAATTTGGGTTCAGTATCTTGCCCAAAGACACTTCAACATGCAGCTTGGAGGAGCCAGGGATTGAACCGCTGACCTTGCAATTAACGGGCAACCCGCTCAAACCCCTGAGCCATAGCTGCCCGTAAATGTTCACAAAATATAAACTTTGAATCATTTATCACCATTGATGAACCCCACAAAGAATATTATAGCGTTTAAAAGCAGTATTTGGATGTGCATGCAATTCTTGGCAGGCAGGCAAAACTCGGCAGCTTGGGAGAAGTCCCTGTACGCAAGAAAATGTCCCGGTACGCGAAAGAGTAAAATGTCGAGGTGTCGGTACTGCGTAACGGGGCGTACCGCCTCACTTCAGGCACTGCTAATAATCAAAATTGACTCCACTTACCAGAAAAGCCGTAGCCTATGAATGGATTATATTCAGACAAACCTGGTCTTGTTATGTTGGCAAAGGTCCAGACGATCCAATCCAGTAAAATTTTCAGTCGAAAATGCATTTTTATATCAATAAATACACACGGAATGCTGTTATAGCGTTTAACTACAGTTAGCATGTAAACAACAAACAAGACGGTACACCTTGACTTTTGAGTGACACCTTAATTGACCCAATAGAAAATTTGATGCCCTGTCCACGGCCTTCAATAGCCATGAGTCTCCATGTAGTCAGGAAGTGCCAGTCCCCTTCTTTTGTGCATACACCGACAAAGATTGTGCTGAGGACTGGCGCTTCACACACACATCATGCGACTGTTTTTCCATGGACATAATTATATATTGTCGAATATAAAAACGCTCCGCGCCGGAATTCCGGCACTGTGCCGGAAAAGTTTAAGCCCCATGTCATGTATTAGCAAAATGTACATATTCTACTTAATTACTTAAGTTGACTTAGCTAATTCCTAATTATTCGATCTCTGTCTCTGTAGTTGTAACCCTGTCTCTGTAGGGTCAGTGACCCTGACTGAAGCCAGAGAGATTCAATAGATAGCTGTGCAGGGTTCAATCAGGAGCCGGGTCCGAGTTCAGGTCCGACAATGATAATACTTCTTAGTTATGTATCAGTCGTGACCCTTTAACAATCGCTAAGAAGGCTTCAAAGGCATCAGCAGACACCATGCACGCAAGATGTTCCCTGTCAGTAATCCACAGTTCAACCACCAGTGAACGAGTGGCACAATCCCAGACTTTGAGGCGCGTTCCCAGGAAGTCCATGAGGACCTTCCGATTAACGGGCAACCCACTCTACCTCCTCAGCCACAGCCGCCACAGTTTGAGCCCTTTATAGTCCCTTTTCGCAAGTTCACATTTCTGCAGACTTTGCCTGAGAGAATTGCCCACAGTTCATAGTGGTATGACGTGAAGCCCGGAAGCGAGAGAAAAATCACAGCAAATTTGCGTTACAAGAGAAGAAGAAGAAAATGGTAAACAAACAAACATCAACACCAACGCTGATGTTAAAATTGTTAGAATTTTTCTTAAGATTGTAAAAAGAACACATGAAGTCAGAGTCATGCAATCACCTTATCACACACTGAGTTTATTCAACTATTTATTATAGTTTTTGCTTAATGATGCTGTTTTGACCAACAATAGTGTATTGATTATTGACAAATATATATTGACATTTACCTCTCCTCCACTCTGTAGGGCGAGAGCCTGCAAGGTTAGGGTTAGGGAAAAGCATAAAATAAAAAGTGTGCAACGTGTTTCAGCATCGTCAAGGTAATAACGTGGCAAAGTGCTGTCCCGTTCCTGTTTACAGCATTTTGAGCCCTTGCAGCCTCTTGCACTCAATTTCCAAGTGATGTCAGTAAAGTCTGTGAGGGCTCAGGGCTTAGGGGGGACATTGGGATTGGGCCAACATCTCAGTTCAAATCACAGCAAGAGCTCAGCTGGAGTGTGTGTTTAAATCATTCTCTCATTCTGTCTCTCACACACTGACACTGACGCCCTCAGGCTATATTAGTCTCAGGTGTGCTGCTACCTGCCCAGGTGTGCTCATTCTTTCAGTGTGGCAGCAGAAGCAGGTAGGTTCACATTCATTTACTTTTTAATACATTAAAGATGTTTTTTAAATCAGTACTCGACCATTTTTTTGCTCATTTCAGTATTTTGGATGAGAAGTTGCTCTCTAGTATCTAACAGAGACTCTTCAGTCCATATAAAATCTAAACTGAGCTCATACTTGTGTGTTTAGTTTATTTCAGCAGCTGTGAGGCAACAAAAAGAGCTTGAAACCGTCTCTGGAGCCACATACTGCGAGGTAGTCCATCATTTAACAGACGTGTCCTGTGTGATGGTGAGACAGCAGGAGAAGAAGGCAGTGCTGGTTATTGAGAATGTATAAACTGACAGAAGTGAGGACAGATCTATTCCTGTGATCTTGAGTTGAACTTTGAATGACATGTGGACGCTTGGTCAGGCATCATGTTTTAATGCGCTGGATTCACCTTTAGTATAACCGTTCAGTGCTAAAAGTAGGTCTAGTATAAACTGCTGGAGAAGTCCATGTTGGAGGAGGTCCGGTGGTGGGATGGGTCAACCGGAGTCCAGGAGACTGGTGGTGTCTGGAGAGTGGACGAGATGATGTGATGTTTCTGGGTAGATCAGAGATGCAAAGAAAGTTTTAAAGGCAAAGTCTTTGCAAGAAAGCCAGGCAGTTATACTTTGGGAATAATTCAGAAACAGACCGACAAGGTACAGCACAGGTATTAATGTTTGTTTGGTTTTTAGCTGTGTTGATGTTTATTTCTGTACACTGAGTCACATTTCTTGTATATGTTCACATACATGGCCAACAAATGATTCTGATAATATGGATACAGGAGCACCAACTGCACACTGTGACTGAAACAATTATTCTTTTAATTCTGATTTTACCTTGATGATCAACTTTATTGGCCACATACAATCTTATACACACTTTCATACACAGAGTACAGCGCGTGTGGATGTAGTTCTGACTCGAACCCAAAGCAAAGATCCGTGCTGGATCAACAAAGGGTCTAGTGGTGCTTATGGCTGCACTCTCATTTCTTTTCTCCCACATTTTCAGTCCAAACTGCACATTTTTCTCTAAATCTAATCTGTATTCAGTCTGCAGGGCAAAACATCACCAGCTGACTGACTGAAGATCTGTATTTCAGCAACAACTTTCAGCACGGGGCCTTGAGTGGTTGATGAGGTTCCACTGATCATTAAAAGTTCCAGTGGCCTTTAACAAGGTTTCACTGGTCGCTGATGAGGTTCCTGTGGTCATTAGTCAGGTTCCAGTGGTGATTCTAGTGAGGTTCTACAGGGTCAGTGAGGACACAAGAGACTTGTTGACCACAGCGCAAATACCACTGAGGTAAGCTGACGATCTGGCGAAGAGTGAGGTGAAGTACCGGGTTGCTATACTGCAGAGTCTTGATTAGTAGAATGCAGATCAGGTGTGGAGGTGGAGGTCAGCGCCAGAGTGAGAAGCCACGCCCAGACAGGCACACAGACAGACAGACTGGGAGGGAGAAGAACATAGACACAAGGTGTAGGGAGGAGAACAGCAGACTCATAACAATTTCACTTTGACAGGAAGCCAGCGACAAACGATTAACAACTTGATAAAGGTGTCATTCTATAATTTAAATAAATCAGACATACCCGCTCAGAGGCAGAACATTTATTCTCCGGTAGATATTAAAGAGCCGTTCCAGTCTGTGCTCACACTGAAAATGAATTAACAGCGTTCAGAAAGTTGACTGAGTGACACGGCCCTGTCAAAATTCACGCACTATCTAGCTAAAGTCCAAGTCAAGCCTCTGAGCCAGAGTCCAGGTCAAGCCTCAAGCCTCTCGTGGTTATAATGAATGTTTTATCACCTGCTGCTTATAAAACTGCATGGCTATAAGGGATTCTGTAACTGTAACCTGTTTTTCTCTTACAGAGCACAACCAAGTGATGTGCAATGCAACTAATGACAGCTTATTAACTATTAAGTCAAAACCCCACCAAGACTCTCAAACCAGTGTAACGTTATAACTAAATAAAACTGTAACGTTACATGATCAACAATAAACCTGTAACCTGTTTGCAGCCACTGTTGTTAGTTAAGGTGATGGCAGCCAGCGGGACGTAAATGATTACGTTAATCGACCACCACAGGTTTGGCAAGCAAACACTCATTCATCTTTTCATAACGAATGACAGTCGGAGTTAACCTCCTGCAGGTCGTAGCTAAAACAAGAAGCAAGCTAACGTTGGATGGCCAATGCTGAGATAAACATGTTTACCTCAGGTTACTAAACTATTTTGCATTCAGAGCTTCTTTTGTTTGGGTGTCACTGTGGGAAGTTTTAAAGCCAAAGTTTATGATGAATGGCTCAGCAGCTGCCGGTGTGTGTTGTCCTCTCTCATGTGGGGTCGCGCAGCAGATATTACGTGTTACGTAGGCAGGTTATAGGTAACGCAGGGAGGGGAATAACAGCACGCTCATCAGACATTTCCTAAAAATAAACATTGTTCACGAGTCCCACACCTCGAGTCAGAGTCAAGTCTGAAGTCTTTCGAGGACGAGTCTCAAGTCAAGTCTGAAGTCTTTGTGTCTGCGACTTAAGTCAGACTCGAGTCCCCATCTCTGGGTTCACAGTGTGAGTTCCAGAAATAAACCAGAGATACTTTACATGTTCTGCTGAAATAAAGTAAACCACATAGACACCCTCTAAAAGAGAGAGGCTTTATGAGCAACCTCAATCCCTCATCCCTTCATGTCTGGGGTCTGGTTCCTCAGGTCAGTGGCCTGTTTTGACCCAGCTGATTTTTCCATCTGTTATGCTGTATGTGTTGTATGTTTTCTGTCTATTGATCAGTTATAAACTAGTATCTGGTTAAAATATATCATTATAAAACTACACGAGACTCGCAGAGACCACCCCCCACCACGCCAATGACCTATGAACGTCTTTTCTCATAAGTCGGGTCACATGCTAATGTTGCAGATCAATGTAAAGCCACAAGTCAGACAATAAATTATACAGTTTATCACATCATGTGTTTGAAAAATCAATGATTTGTGCTCCACTAGAGTCCATCAGATTCCACAAGAGCCCAGAGACCAGCAGGTGTCTCAGCACAACATGATCTTCATCATCTTCATTGGTGAGTTAGTAGAATTAAGGTAGGATGCATCAGATGAGGGTTGGGTTCCCACTGTAGGAGATCCAACAGTTTTAAAGGCTGCTTTTATGTTTGCTGTGGTGATTTGAGGAAACTTTTGTAGGCCTATAGCGACATCATCCTACAGAGACTGACTGAAAGCCGTGTAAGCGAAGTCCTAGGTTTTGGGTTTTAGTGGCATTATGTTCCTGTTTACTCTTCCTAGTGTGTGTTAGTGTTTATCACTCCCTGCCTCTGTGCTCTTTTAGGTTCTGTTGGTACGCTCCTGTTTCATGTTCTCTATTGTACTTTCGAATACTCGTCCTTGTGTATTGTCGCTAGCTGTACTTCCTGTTTTATTTTGTGATCGTTTTTTCTAGCTTTGTTTCCTGTCTCCCATGATTCCTCATGTGTCTCACCTGTGACTAATTACCCTGCCTGCTTGTGTCATTGTCAAATATTGAGTTTTCTGCCTTGTGCTCCGTTTTCCCCTGGATTTCTGGATTGTTCCCTTGTTCTTGGATTACTCTGCCTTAGTTGGACTTTACCCCTGTGTTTGGATTACCTCGCCTTTTGTATTTAAATAAACCTGTAAACTGATCCAGCCTTGTTTGGTGTCTGCATTTTGGGTCCACACCTCTGTTTCCCTGCCATTGCACTCAGCCTTTCTGACAGTACGACGCAACCAACAATGGACCTAGCAGACACTCATGGACTTGGTTTGTGAGTTAGTGGAGCTCAAAGCCATGTGGAGCCAACAATGGGGACCCGTCAGGCCGTCTTCAACAGGTTCTGTGGCGGTCGCCGGAGGAGACGTGCCCATCACGGCTGCCGAAGAAATCATCAGCCTCAACCACCCCTTACCCCAGAGTTTCCCGACCAGCACCGCCTGCGCCGGGGCCAGACCGACTCCTGCTCCAAGATCTCCATCGGTGGTCCAACCAGCTCAAGGCCCCAGTGCTTAAACAGATTGTCATCCCTGCTGTCCAGTCGCTGGTCCTCAGCCTTGTTCCTGGTTCCCTGTTCTGCTGCTTCGCTGCTGGACTTCAGACCTGCCCCGCCTCCAGAGGGGTTCCGCCTTTGTCGTTGGTCCCCTGGCTTGCCTCCTGAGATTTTCACTCCTCGCCATCGACCTCCAGTTCAGCCTCCAGAGGGCTTCTGCCCTAGCTCCCAGCCCCCCTGGCCGGCCTTCTGACCTGTTCTGCTTGTCTGGTCGACCTACTGGTCATCGCCCTTAAAGTCTCCTGTGCCCCCTCTGCCCTGCCTTCAGACTGCCCGCCTAAGCCTCTGGTTCCTCTGCTCTGCCCTCGGGCCGACTGCTAGAGTCTACCTGTCCGGCCATGTTCCCACTGTTCTGCCCTGTCCACTCTCCTGTAATTCCCTGTTTTGCCACCTTCTGATATGGACTATTTCTGTTGGACTTTTCCCTGTCGTTGCACCTTGCCTTTCTGACAAGCTCCTGTTGTAGGTTTTCATAGTAAACCTACTTCCTCTACTGAGCCTTCTTGGTGAGGGAGGGAGATGATGGTGCTCAGGAAGCGGAAGGAGTCCACAGTGGTGACGGGGGAGTCACACAGGATAATGGGGGAGGTTGGGGCTGGGCTCTTCCTGAAGTCCACAACCATCTCCACGGTCTTCAGAGTGTTGAGCTCCAGACTGTTCTGGCTGCACCAGGTCACCAGATGGTCGATCTCCCACCTGTAGGTGGACTCATCCCCACCAGAGATGAGCCCAATGAGGGTGGTGTCATCTGCAAACTGCAGGAGCTTGACGGACTGGTGACTGGAGGTGCAGGTGTTGGTGTACAGGGAGAAGAGCAGAGGGGAAAGAACGCAGCCTTGAGGGGAACCGGTGCTGAGGGTCCTGGAGTCAGGCACGCAAGTTCAGCAGATGGAGTCAGGCACGCTCAGCTGGGAGAGCTTGTCCTGTAGCAGGGCCGGGATGATGGTGTTGAAAGCAGAGCTGAAATCCACAAACAGGATCCTGGTGTAGATTCCTGGGGAGTCCAGGTGCAGGAGGATGTAGTGAAGGGCCATGTTTACTGCATCATCTACAGACCTGTTGGCTCTGTAGGCAAACTGTGGGGGGTCCAGGAGGGGGTCTGTGATGGATTTAAGGTGGGACAACACATGCTGGTGGAGGCTTTTAAGCAGGCTGGCACATTCAGGTAGTATACATCAGGTGTGGTGATGTTACAGCTCCAGGATTTTCAGAGTTTCCACTAAGTAAAAAATATGCCACAGATGTTTTTTATGTCATCAGATCTCATCATCTGAAACATTTTACAGTAATTACAAATTTATTAATTTAGCCCATAACATTTGACATCTCCCCTAGACTTTAAAATCTTTCTGACCCATCTATCCTTCTGCAGTTTTTCTTCCAGTTGCTCAGCTCCAGGACCTCCAGGACCAGTGCCCCGGCGGCTCCTGTAACCCCCAGCTTGGTGACCTGATGGTTGGTCGAGCGGATCAGCTGTCAGCCTCGTCCACCTGCGGTCTGGATGGACCACAGGACTACTGCATCATTGGATACCTGGAGGTATAACGGGGGGTATGATTAGTATTTAAGTAGTATGAGTTTCACCACACAGTAACACACACATGCAAACGTATCCACCCACGTGTCCTCTGGTTTTTCTTCTGTGTGTTTGCAGTGTATATATCCATGTGCGCTCCATGTGCTGCAGATGAACTGTGTTCTCCTGCTGTATATTTCCTCCTCTCGCTTCACTTCTCTGTCTGATTGATGTGTTTCTGGCTCGCACTCTGACTTTCATACTGAAACATGTTCTGATCCGTCCCGTTAGAATTTCACGCTGTACTTTCCAGCCTGAGGAATTATTTCTCCTTCTCATTCCTTCAGTCCTGTCGTTCCTCCAGGGCTTTATTCTCTCACAGAAATATTTCTTCAAAAATTCAGAAGAAAAAGAAACTGTTCAGATGATCTGGCCCTACCTTAAAACACCTGCTTTTAGAATAGTTTGGTTGAATATCTGTTTATAGTCTGACCAACAATAAACAAGTTCAACATGTCCTCATACGTAACAACAAAACAGTTCAAGGCCGTCCGTCCGTCTGTCCCGCCTGCCCTCCATCCCATCCTCCTCACTTGGCCTTTGTCGCTCTGTATCCTGCATCACCTGACCTCCTGGTGTGCGCCTGTCATATGTCGCAGCCTGACAATAAATGTAAATATGGTAACAAGCTGCTGCGTGGGTTAGAGTTAAGGTCCACCTGCTGAGGACAGCTGAAACTTTATTGTACACAATGAAAACTTTACTGAAATGGGTCAAAGAGACTCCATGATCAGTAACAGTCTAAACTGTTGATGGTAAACGAAGTTCTGATGATCAGCTGGAAGTGATGTGGTGTTGTTCATCAGGACGAGCAGAAATGCTTCAAGTGTGACTCACGGCTGCCGTACGATCGCTATAGCAACCCCAACAGCCATCGCATCGAGAACGTCATCACGACCTTCGACCCTGAGAGGAAGACGAGGTGGTGGCAGTCTGAGAACGGTGAGTTCCAACGTCTGTCCAATCAGAGTTGAAATGTTTTCAACTTAATGTTTCGTCTGCAGAACTTATTTTCTTTCCGCTTCTGTCAGATCAGTGACTTTCAGTTTTTTATGTGGGCTAAAAAATGATGTGTTGCTGCTGAAACCTGGAGAGATCTGACCAGAGAAATTTTCTCAGAGGTTAGCATAGCTGCTGTTGCTAGTTAGCAGAGCTAAAGGTTTCGTGACAGTGTTCACTGTGAATTCTGTGAAATGTAGGAACATTGTTATTGATTGAACATCAATAATCACTGTTATGATGGCTAACTCACCTGTGTACCTGCTGCTGTGTTGTCTGCAGGAGTTCATCAGGTCAGCCTCAGGTTGGATCTGGAGACCGTGTTCCAGTTCAGTCACCTGGTCCTCACCTTCAAGGTAGCACACTAAACAAACCATCAGGAGAATTATTCATGTTCACACATACACTTCTTTGGTGTCAGTTTATTTCTCTCTAACCGTATGAGGATGAACTTTCCATGCTGACTATATATGCAGTATGTTAACATTGGGGTCAACTAACCTGTGATGTCACTTCCTGTGCTTGCTCTCTGCAGAGTTTCCGTCCGACGGCCATGTTGGTGGAGCGATCGAAAGATTTTGGACGAAGTTGGAAAGTTTTTCGTTACTTTGCAGAAGATTGTTCTCTTCATTTTCCTGCAGTGTCCAATCAGGCGGCTGACAGCATCGATGACGTCATCTGTGACAGCAGATACTCTGGATCAGAACCGTCCACCGACGGAGAGGTCACACGTTCAACTCCACTTTATTTAAACTTACACAACCCTCACTAACAAATGAACACAAATCTAACTCAAAATAAAACCTCAGTGACCCGGACCGCCACCCATAATCCTCAGCATCAAGGTAACCAATGATGATCTAGTTCAGAGGTTCCTGACCTGAGGGCCGGGACCCCTCAAGAGGGGCCAGTTAAATCACATCTCAAGGTCACATGATGGTAATGAGACACTTATAATAGTCACACTTCAGTGAAAAAACAACCAAATGCGTTATCTTCAGTTTCTGAAAAGAGAAAAAAAGGAAGTTAGAGAAATAAACTCTTACTGATGAAAATGACGGATAGGTTTGATCCAGATGATATCAAACCAGAGATTACAAATTGTGTCAGTGAAGAATCAGACAGATTTAAAACTGGAACAAATGAGAATAAAGCTGAAGCTTTTACACACGTACCACTCCTTCTTTTAGAAACAGTTTTAGAGAAAAGATCTTTTTCTTCTGTTTCTCCACCAGGTGGTGCTGAAAGCTCTCGATCCCGTCTTTCAAATAGTAAACCCGTATGCACAGAAAATCCAAGGTGAGAACCCTGCTCTCTGATTGGTTGTCAGCTGCGTGTTCAAATAACTCGCATAAACAGTTAAAGCAACCTGTTAAATCAGATCTTGTATTAGGTGTATTAACCTGCAGGTAACCATGGCAATGGGACTGAGCTGATGTGTTTACATCAGACACAGAAAGAAGAACTTATGCAAACTTGTTTAATCCTCATCCTCAGATCTGATCACCTTGACGAATATCCGTGTGAACTTCACTCGTCTCTTCACGCTGGGCGACACTCTGCTGGGACGAAGACGCAGGAACCCTCAGGACAAATATTACTACGCTCTTTACAACATGGTGGTCCGAGGCAGCTGCTTCTGTAACGGGCACGCCAGCCAGTGTACACATGTGGACCGTGGACGGGGGGACGTCTTCACCCAAACTGGCATGGTACGGACCAGAACAGAAATCAGTTATGGACCTGGTATGCATTGGTTCTGGGTAGGAGTTTACATTACAGCTTGGTAATAACAGGGAAATTGTTTGATAACAAGGTCATAATGTAGTAATACCATGTAATTACCAAATTAATAATTAGGTAATAGCTTGGCATTGACAGTAGGGATATCTGGGTAATATTAGACTGATATTTATGTGACAGGGTAATAAGGGATTATAAACAAAAGGGAATAATGGGGAAATGCATTTAAAGATGTCAACTATACTGAACAAAAAACCCTTTTGTTTTTGCCCCCATTCATCCTAAGCTGAACTCAAAGATCTAAGACTTTCTCTATGTACACAAAAGGCCTATTTCTCTCAAATATTGTTCACAAATCTGTAAAAATCTGTGTTAGTGAGCACTACTCCTTTGCAGAGATAATCCATCCACCTCACAGGTGTGGCATATCAAGATGCTGATCAGACAGCATGGGGATTGCACAGGTGTGCCTTATGCTGCATTCAGATCAACTGCGAATTTTGGCCTCGCGACGCTTTCCTCACGTGAGTACATTTGCTTAAAGTGTTCACACACAACGCGAGAAGGCGATTTTAAGGCGATAACGTGAATAAACACAACTCGCCACAACTGTTTGAACCCAAAGTAAACAATTTGCTGTGATTAAATAGCAATAAATGGATTAAACTGATGCCGAAATAACTACAACATGATGCAGATTTGTTAAACATAGGAATTCATGCTTTGACAGATCTGTCAGCAAGACAGCAGGACAACATCTTCTAAAATGTTTGTTTTCTGAATGGAGTTCGGATCGATCAGGGCTATGCCAACTTGGTCACAGTAAAGTACAACGACAGCTGGAATAAAGTTACAGACACGTGTTTTCAGAACTCACCAGGTAGTTCAACCTCCTGGCATTCTTTTCTCCCAGCAATGTCCAGGTTTGTCTGGTTTTTATAGCTAACAACGCTAACAACAACACTGGAACCGGATGTGCACGGAATCTAGCTGCTGAGAAACTCCAGTGAAGATAAATCAACATTGAAATCCCAAAAACTAAAGTAAAAAGCTAATTTAATAAAAGCAGTTTACTCCGAGCTCCTCCCGCGAGTAAACTGCGTAGTTGTCAGAGCAGAATACGACCGACTACGGGGGTTTATTTGTCCAATGGTTGTAGCGCTGCTCTCTGCCCAAGTTTAGCAGCTCTCAACCGATTTTCAATCCCCCGCTCTGCCTGGCCCTCTCCACACAACGCTCTGAAGTCTCGGTGAAGTACGGACAATCTCAACACTGATAGGCTATCGTGACTCAGTCGTGCGACTTCTTCACTTGAGTTGAAAAAATTCAACCCGACAGGAAATCGCGGCTGTATGCGTCTTTGCATTGACTTAGTATGTAAACTCACCGCCCCAAACGCTCGCTTCGCTTTTGGTCTGAAAGCACCTTTAGGCTGGCCACAATAAAAGGCCACTTGAAAATGTGCAGTGTCAACGTCGATCACATTAACTCAAAGATGAGGGAAAAAAACAAACTCAGGCCTCCAAAGTCCCTTTGGGCCCAACAGCCTTCATTTGCAGGTAAAGCTGTTTTCTGCTCTTCAGGTTCACGGTCGATGTGTTTGTCAGCACAACACAGCTGGAGAGAACTGTGAGAAATGTCAAGACTTTCACCACGACACCCCCTGGAGGCCGGGAGGAGTAAACACAGTCAACATCTGCAGGAGTAAAGACTCAATCATTTCCCCCTCATGTTGATAGAATCATCCACCAGGCTTTTCTTGCTGTTGGACATGAGTAGACTAGCAAATATAATTTGTAGGAGACAGACATTTCCTAGTTCAGTTTCATATTATCTAAAATATATATTTAAAACCAAGTTTTAACTCTGAACTGTGAATCACTTATCTCTTAATATTTAACATTTAGTTTAGACCCCTTGTTCAGACGGACTGGTAACACTGGTACTGCAGTATAATAAAAGTTTGTATCAGAAGTTTGTCAGTGTTCATCTTTCTATTGACAGTTTTGTTTTTTAAGAATGAATTCATTTAGTTTTCAGTTTGTAATCATGTCCTTGTGTTTCACGTCTCTCTCAGGATGTAACTGTCACGGTCACTCGGACTCGTGTCACTTTGATGCCGCTCACTTTGAATTGACTGGCGGAGTGAGCGGTGGCGTGTGTGATGACTGCCGCCATGACAGGACGGGGCCCCGTTGTGAACGATGTCGACCTTTTCTGTATCAGGATCCACAAAGAGCGACGGATGACCCGCACGCCTGCATACGTACGCTTCAACTGCTTTCATTTATTTACTCTGTGTGTGTGAGTCACAGTTACGTTTGACTTTGATTAGATTAAAAATGTGGCAAATTCCAAAATCCACAGTTAATAAGATCTGAGAAACATAACTGTTTCCAAAAGCATGATGTAGTGTTCTCCTGCACAACATTCCCATCAACCCTCATCACCCACACAAAGTGCATTGAAAGATACATACAGAGGAACATTAAATGTAACAATGGTTATACAGAGAAAGCTGATTTGACAAAATGCCATCATAATCCAACATAGGCAGTAGTAGCTGTGTGACAATTATTTTCCTCTTCTGGAAACTGAAACAGTTTGTGGAGCGATAAAATTTACTTAGGTTAGGTAAGTGCTGGATGCTCAAGGGGAATCTGTTGTTAAAATATTTAAATCTGAGGTACCTCTAAGACTAATTTTAGTCTAAAACAATGTACTACATAATTTCTTCTTAAGTAATAGCTTATTGAATAAAAACCTCTTCTGAATGGAATCAAACTCAAGTTGTAGCAATCTTTCAATTGTAAATTTGTTGACTTTAGATAAAATATATGTAAATGTATCATCTGCATATAAATGTGCTTAACAATCTTTGGGAAGGTCGTTAATATAAATTGAGAATATAGACATTGAGAGATGAACCTTGTGGAATCCCCCGCTCAACAATTAAATAATTGGAGAGACTTCCATTGAGTCTGACACACTGTCGTCTGATTTGGAGGTAGTACTTCAACCAAAGTAGAGTATTTTGAGAAACAGATGGAGTAAAATTTGGAGTAAAAGAAGGCAGGACAACAGGAAATCCATCAGCAGTTATCCATTATGGCTTGAGCTTTTTTCAGGGCAGTTAAAGTGAGGTGTTAGTTTTGTCGGACCCATTGGTTTTATCAACAGTAAGTCACAGGTGTCTGAATTTTTTTGCAGCCCCAGAACCTCCCATCTTGTATTTTCAGGGTTTCGAACATCAACACATTTGCTACCTTTAATCTGCATGTGGGTGCATGTATAGACCCTTCCCTTCATCAGTCAGTGCTTGCGTGTAAAGACCATGCTACAGAGCTTTTTGCCTGAGTTGTTTTTTTTTCTAGGCTAGCTTGCATCCAACCATTAGTAAAATCCAGAAGAGAGACAGTGACTCAGATTGCATCCACATTTCCCTCACTTGCGTCTTTTCCTTAGTCCCATCCACTGGGGATGCATGGAAAGATGCAAGCAAACCATGCGAGGAGAGAAGGAACGAGGAAATTAGACATCCTTTCCTCCGAACCGTCACGTGAAGCGACATCCATTTCTGATCACAGCTGATCTCAGCTGTCAGTCGGCTCTTATAGCTGGAGAGGCTTTTGGTGGAGTTAACTGAGTTGATAAAATAGGCTTTGTCAGGCTTCCTCAAAGCGTATGTTGACTCTATTTGAAGCCCTGAAATGAGAACGTCTAATTCTGTTTTACTGTCTCCTGCTCAGAGACACAGGATAATTTCTACAGGCAGAAATCATCATCTAAATCATGTAGACTTAATAGGCTAAATGTTTCAGGGGAAATTGAAATAATGCAACTCCCATCAAATCAGACTTCAGCTCGGAACCAAAACCACAATCAGATTCAGCTTTATTGCCAGGTATGTGTACACATGCAAGGAATTTGACTCTGGATTGTACAATGCTCACGATGTGCTTACTTATACAATAACACAATAATCCAGTAATAAAATCAAACACAGGCTACAGTGTGTGTGTGTGTGTGTGTGTGTGTGTGTGTGTGTGTGTGTATATATGTATGTATATATTATATATATATATGAGACAATAGTGCAATGAGCAGAGTGCAAACGATGCAGGAGTGAATTATTACCATTATTGTTATTAATACATTGTTATTAAAAAGAGAACTGTTCAGTTTAAGGCTTTTCATTTATTTCCTCTTCGGATATCCTTTAACACTACTCCACACATTTTATTTGCAAGTCACATCAATGATCGATCACTGCATTCCTTCAGATCAGTCCAAGGCTTTTTTGTAGAGCAGCAACACTTTTGTTCACAGATGCAGTCAGTGAGAGTGGCTGGATGTGCAGCTTTCTTTTCCTTTGCTTGAGTCTTTAGTGCAGTTTAGTGACTTTAGTCAGAGTCCTTACTACGTTTTATTGTTGTCTATTTGGACTAAACTCTCAGGAATGATCAGCCTCATGTAACTGAATGGAAGTGGTGATAAATTAAGTAAAAAGTGTTTCCTGCTGACAGAACAACTCTCTGACTTCAATGATGACCATAATAAAAGTTGATGAGGGAAATAACAGAAAAGACAAATTTGTTTTAGTAAATGCAAAAAATTGTCTGTGGTGCTTTTGTTGTTCAGACCTAAAGTGAACGCAGATTTTAACAAGATGCCGTTTGGGAATACAGGAGCCAGTCCTCTGCCCCTTGTCCTTTACTTCCTGCTGTCTCATTTGCACCAAAGCCTGAACAATTAATATCTCTGAGCCTCTGCCATTAGCATTACATGGAAGTGTTGATGTCCTTCCATTGAGTCGGCTATCATTACTGTTTCTAAAGGGAACCTAAACCCTTTGGTTAAAGTCTTATACTGAGGCCACATATGATCCTGTTGCAGATACAGACTTAAGTCTCAAAGACAGAAGCTACTTTCACAATTAATGCTGAGAGAATGTCCGGCAACATGCCGCATCCACTCATTCATACTGAACAAAAGATTCCGGCATAATCCCGCAACCATTTGTGCTGTCACATAGCGATCTGACTTGCAGGGTTAGATCTTAATACAACAGCCACAGTAGGTTGTGCATGCCGGCTTTTCACACAGACATTGTTCATCTGTTACCACAATTTCTGTCTACATTTATTTAAACATGTCCTGGATTATATTTTGTTTGCATTTGTTCCATGTTCAGTGTCTGTCCTGTTTTACTCAGTAATGACCTGTCTCTGTTCCCTGGCTCTGCTTCTTCTGTGTTGGCCCTGATTGCCCTGATGCGTCTCACCTGTGTTTGATTACCCTGCCTGTCTGGTATCAGTATTTACTTGTGTCCTCATTGGTATGTTGAGTGTCTGTCTGTTCTCTGTGGAGTTGTGACCTTGTTGGATTATTGAACAGTGCTTGGGTTCATGTTGCCGTCTATGTTTTGGACTTTTCCTGCTACAAACACCACAAACTGTATCCATGTGTTACGTTTACACCTCAGTTTACCTGCCTCCGCACTCAGCCAACCCTGACAGATACAGATCATAAGTTATGATTGTAATTATGGATCTGAGTCAGAAGGACGGCCGTCACCATCCCTGAGGCGATCAAGATAAGAAGACAAGCCAGAGCTGTTTTACAGTACGGGTCACGGGCATGACTTTGTCTCCATCTGGTCTGTCCTTCGGTTTAGTCTGTAGTCAGAGTGAGGTCAAACACACTCATCAACTAACTTCTTCCTGGGTTTCAGCATGTGACTGCGACCCAGCTGGTTCGCAGGGTGGCGGTCTGTGTGATGCTCTGACCGGTCAATGTGTCTGTAAAGAAAACGTGGAGGGTCGACGCTGCGATCGCTGCAAATATGGCTTCTTCAGTCTGAGACAGGACGACCCAGCTGGCTGTCAGGGTGAGAAATAACTTATTTGACCTTTTCATAAACAGAGGAGCTGCTGTTCGTCATGTTGGTCTGACGATGTGTGTCTCTCTGTGTGTTGTGATTTTCAGTGTGCAGGTGTCATGTTATGGGAAGTGTCGGGTCATGTGATCAGCTGACAGGAAGTTGTGAATGTGATCGTTTGGCGAGTGGACCACTTTGTGATCGATGTCTGGTAGGTTTTTATCTTAAAGGAGCAGTCTGTAAAATAACTTTAGTTCAGTAATCTGCAGTTTGAAACCAACTGACCCTGACCTCGTTATGATCCTGACCTAGTTATGACTTTTGTTATTCTCTGATTACACTGTAAAATATTTATTATGTTTGTACAAACATCATTTGTCTAACAGAAAAGGAAAACGTGACAACACAGACAAAAACGTTGTTTTATTTAAATGAAAAAATAGAACTGTATTGTCCTCCAGGTTGGACATTTGTCCTCAGGTCAGAGAACAAAAAAAAACAAACAAACTTTTAAAGACAAGGTAACGAGCAGGGCGGGACCACAGCAGGTGACAGATCAGGCATTCAGACACTGACATGCAGGCAGGTAAAGTGATGTAAACCGAAATAACACGGATCACAACAGAAAAAGGGAGACTGAACTGAAAGATCATTAAACTAATGGAACAGACAAAATACGCAATATTCCCAAATAATCATAAACACAAGCAGATGGATCAAAACCAGATGAACAATAAAAAGTCAGAGGTAATAAACTAAGACAGAGTGTAAACTATAAACCAAGTACACTAAACTAAAGAGAACAGCAAACTGGCAGTCTGAAGACATAACTAAACAAACAGGAACTGGACTAATAACACAGGATGGTTAAAGTAGACTAGATAACACAGACTAGCTCCACTTTAGGACAGGACCAGGACCAGACCACAATGCAGAAACGCATTGAGAGACAGACCAGAATATGTGAGCAGCACAGACGGACAAAGACAAGGAGACTAAAACAGAACAGACTAAAGCAGAAAACTGGCAGAGATCACAAGTAACACTAGAAGACAGAATAAACAGAGAGCGCTCCACAACCAAACAGGCAGAGATCCGGATCGTGACAGTCATGATAAACATTCACAGCCTACAGGTGAAGACAATCATCAGTCATTTATTAAAACGTCATATTTTTGAATGTGCTTCTGTCTGTGTTTTGTGGTCAGGCGGGATTCTGGGGTTTGGGAAACTCGGTGTTCAGATGTTCACCCTGCGACTGTGATATCGGAGGAGCTCACAGCACCACGTAGGTTTCTGCTTTCCTGGTATTTACTGTCTGAATCTTTACAACGGTTTGAAGAGGAAGTAATGATGACGGTCAGGTCGTCTACAGTCCAGAATGAGTCTCATGAGTCTCAACACCCTCTTTAAGTTAAAGACAAACCACAGAACCAAAGAAACATCAGGGAGGAATCCTTCAGCAGCACAGACAGATATCAGGTTATACAGGAAGAAGAAAGACGTGGACAAGAGACAAGACCGTAATCAAAACCTGGGAGAAATAAGCTTTAAAATTTCTATGTTTGACAGTAACTATTTGTTTACATTTTCATTCATTCGTTTGACTCCTGCTAAGTAACAGAAAACTGTTGGACTCTTGGAATCAGCTGCCTCTCTCATTTATCTTTCCTCTAAATCTGTCTGAAGTGAAACGTGTTGCACTTCCTGACTCCTCAGGTGTTCTCCGGAGGACGGACAGTGTTCCTGTTTGCCTAACATGGTGGGTCGGCGCTGCTCTGACCCTGCCTCTGGGTACTTCCTGGCTCCACTGGACTACTTCCTGTATGAGGCAGAGCTCGCCGCTCCGCTCCACGGAGGAAGCTCTTCTTCTCCTTCTACTCCTCCTTCATCATCTTCTTTCGTGAGTGCAGTAAGAGTATCAGTGTATACTGACAATATAATGTGTTTTACATGTAGTATCTCTGTGTACTTTCAGCTGAACCCAGATGTACCGCAGTGTGAGCAGTATTTCAGAGAGCAGGGTTACAACTTTAAGTTCACTAACGGACGAGTCGTTCTAGTTCGGAGGACTCGGGGACTCGTCCGCCGGAGGAGACAGGGACAGGTGGGACATCATTATGGGCTGCTGTGGCTCAGGTGGTAGAGCGGGTTGTCTACAGTTCGATCCCTGGATCCTCCACTCTGCATGTTCAGGTGTCCCTGAACAAGACACTGAACCCTGACTGTCTTCTGAAGGCTAGAGTCTGGTGAAAGTTAGTTACATTTTGAGGTGCAGTTGGCAGCGTGCAGGTTAACCACTGCTATCGGTGTAAGCATGTGTGGAAACGGGTCAGTGTGACATCTCAGAAAATTAGAATATTGTGGTAAAGTTTTCAAAAAGAGAAATTTTCATAGATTCTAGTTTCATTACACGTCAAGTGAAATATTTCAGGGCTTTCATTGTTTGAATCTTGGTGATTACATCTTACAGCACATGGAAATCAAAAATCCATATCTCAAAATATTAGAATAAAGAACATTTAATACAGAAATGTGGACCTGAGGAGAGCCTTTAATATCAGTCTGGTTCAGACCTCTGACTCTACAGTTGTCCAGAAAATGCTCATTGACCCCGTCCACAAGGAGGGTCAGCCACAGAAGGTCTCTGCTGTGAAATGGGCTGGGGGCCAAGCACGCAAGGCAGAGTGGCTCCCAGTACCCTCGGTAGGCAGCATTTTGGCCCGTAACTCCCAAATAGTGCATCGTACCTTCAAAAACCTTAAATCTCCCCGTTCCCTGAATTGAGCTGCATCTTGTGATTTAGGCCACGGCCGTTTCTGCCCTTCAATATTTTTTGCAAAATCAGGAAATGTGAGAAACTCCTCCTAGCAGTGAGCACCTTTGCAAGTAGAATCTATGGACCCTCCTGATCTAAATTAGAAGAATTTTGATAATCCAAAAAATGTGTAACTTATAATGTATGTTGCAGTTAAACAGGAAGTGATGTCATATCTCCACACAGAGCTTGGCATGAAACTTGGTCAAGTACCTTCACATGCTCGGTCGAGGCTCCATGCAAAATTTTCTGCCAATTGGTCACAATGTGGCGCTTTAAATGAAGTGATCTCAAATCTCCTCTTTGGTCTGTCCGAATAATGCTAAACTTGGGCCAGTAGTTTTCTGTGCCACACTGAGGCGCTGCCAAAAAGCAATCGGCCTCTAAATTGTGTTGCTGCTAAAAAAATCATGAATCATGCTTTATATGAAACATGCAGTGAGAACTTTTGTTATAAAATGGCGCTATATAAATAAAAATGAATTGAAATTGACCTTTCAGCCAATCAGAATGTCATCCTCTGACTGTCACTGATGATTGTTTCCCCACTGCAGCAGAATAGCATCCCTTTGGACCCGGGTCACGCCCTGCAGATTGTTCCTCGTCAGAGGACAGTTGATCAGCCAATCACCTGGACCGGCCTGGGATTGGTCAGAGTGTTGGAGGGGGGGGGGCTTAGGTTCACAGTGGACAATCTCCCATCATCGTTGGATTACCAGCTGGTGATTCGCTACGAGCCAAAGGTGAGAAACTGTCGGGGACCATGTTCAGGTCCTGGTTATGGTTGGCACCACTGAAGTGCCCTTGAGCAAGGCCCATTACCCCAACTGCTCAGGCTGCTGTTGTTCTGGGCAGCTTCCAGGTGTGATTATGATCAGCGGCGGTGGCCCGGGGGGGGGGGGGCCTGGAACCTGGAATTTTTTTTTTTTTTCCTTTTCAACAGATATTGAACAGTTCCATTTTTCTTTTCTGTATTTCTAAAACATGAACTTATTGTAAATGTTATAAAGGATAATTTACCCCAAAAAGACAGGAAAGAAAACCAAACAGGATGATATCAATAAACAAAATTCTGATGATGAATTAAATTGGCATGAAATGGTCACATTTAAATCTTATATTAACTATTTGAAATAAAACCACCTTTTATCTTATTTAGTCTTTCATATTTCTTCTGGTTCAGCAGCTTTTAAAGCTGCATATTAATGACATTTATTAAATATTTCTACAATTTGTAAATAAACCATTTTATCCACAAGGTTTATTGAATTATATGTAATTTACAGTCTGAGATGTTTATAATCTAAAAGTAAACTTTATTTGACTTTTTTATAATGATGATTTATTTTCTGACAGCTTTAATGTGAAATTTATCTTCCTGTATTAAAACTTCAGCTGATCGTCCTCTGCAGGCTCCATCTGATTGGCTGGCTTCAGTCAGCATCATCACAGCTTTGCTGGGCGACGGCGGCTGCAGCAACAACCCAACAGGAAGCAAACCTCTGATTCTTCCAGGAAATTCCAGGTGAGACGCTGTCAGTAAACAACAAGGTCACATGACTGCTCAGGTGTGACATAAATTAGCTTAGAGACACAGAAACATTCTGAGATTTTGAGGACTATAAAGAAAAAGGTTTGATCTGATTTCAAGTAAGTTTTTCAACACAGCTCATGGAAATCAAAAATCCCTATCTCAAAAGATTAGAACAAAGACTGTATAATACAGACATGTGGACCTGAGAAGAGCCTTAATCTCTGTCTGGTTTAGACCTCTGACTCTACAGTTGTCTAGAAGACGCTCATTGACCCCGTCCACAAGGAGGGTCAGCCACAGAAGGTCCCTGCTGAAAGGGCTGTGCTGGATCAAAGCATGTTCATGGAAAGTTGACTGAAAGATTAAAGTGTGGGAGGAAAAGGTGCACAAGTGTGGCGTCCCCCGGGACGTCCTCATCTCTGTCTGGTTGGTCTGAGTATGCATGTGTGTTCTGTTGTAGGTGTTAGTAGGTGGGGTCGTCATCATCAGGTATTGGGGCCACCTGGGGCCTGGTGTTCTCCATATTTAAAGCAGATGCTACCTGATGGAGAGGAGGGAAACAGAGTTCGCTTTACTCCTCGCTCCTCGTTATTTTGCTTTCTTAACACTACATTGCACTGACTATCATACTACACTGCCTTATTTGAGTAGTTATGTTAATTAAATGTTTGAGTTCTTGTAAAATAAATGTAATGGTACCGTTGCTGAAGCCTGTTGTCGCCTTGTGATTATTCATGTCAGGGTTTTTGAGTCAGCCTGTGACATAAGCAACAGGGATCAGAGGACTTTCAAGCAAAGCTGATTCAGGAACTTGGGGGGAGCTTCCCAAAGAGTGGACTGAGGCTGAAGTCAGAGTCTTAACTGGGCTAAGGAGAAACCGAACTGGACAGTTACTCAGTGGTCTAAAGTCCTCCTTTAAATTCTGCATTTCATTTGGAAATCCAGGTCCCAGAGAGTGGAGTGGACCAGAATCTAATTTGCTTGAATTCCAGTGTGAAGTTTCCACATTCAGTGATGATTTGAGGTGCCATGTCCTCTGCTGGGGTTGGTCCACTGAGTTTTCTCCAGTCCAGAGTCAAAGCAGCATCTACCAGGAGATTTTAGAGCACTCCATGCTTCATCTGCTGACAAGCTTTATGAAGATTTTTAGACGTAACTCATGGGGGAAAATGACTTTTTCATGATATGTAACTTTTCTACCTGTTCAGCTTGTTTTATTAACACCTGTGTGTTATGTCCTTTACTGTTTGTTTGTCTGCAGAGGAGTTATTCTAGACTCTCCGGTGTGTCTGAATGCAGGCGGTCGGTACTTTGTGGATGTCGTATTTAACAAACTGCCCGGATCTGATGGCTCCTCTGGCTCACAGATCCTGATCGACTCGGTGAGAAGGTCATCATCTGTTCAACTGAATCTCATTGAGTGATTAACATTTATTCATTTAGCTGACGCTTTTATCCAAAGTGACGGAGAAACTGGACCAAAGGGCTGTTCAGTTTAGCTGTTCAGCATAAGTTACCATGACTGTGTACCCCAGTAAGAAGTGAAGTAACCATCGTAGGACTGAAAGCCTTCAGTAAATCCTGAATTTGCATCACTAAGGTCAAATCCTGCTTCATAGCACAGGCCCCTGGTGTGTCAGTGTTTGAATTTGTCCACATGTTGGAGCAGTGCACATAGAGTAGTCAGAGAGAAACTCATAAAACATAGATGGTTGAGTCCATTGCCACCTTTCGGAAATCAAAAATACAGGAACAAAAGAGAAGGGAACACATTAAACAGTGTATTTCTAACAAAACTAGATAAATGATTTGTAGATGGTTTATCACACATGATGAATTTAATTGTTTACTGAAATATTTTTTTAGATGGGTCTGATTCCACGCATAGAGTCTATCGAAGATTTCTGCTCCCAGAGCGACCTCGACTCTTTCCGCCGCTTTCACTGCATTGGATTGGCTTCTGAGCTTGGCCTACAAGAATCGGTACCAGACGTCTGTGAGGGGCTCATCAAGAGCATGTCGGCACGAATCCACAACGGAGCCATTCGTAAGTAGTTCAACGTGACAACGTAAATCCACAATAGAGCTGTTCATAAGTAGTTTAGCATTTAAACTTAATTAAGGTATTTTCAGTTTGACATTTGACTTTAAATATTGCCACACTAATGTTTCAGGTAACCCCAGCACATAAGAGTACAAAACGTCATGGCTATGGCTCTTTTTGGGGGATAAAAGACCCTATAGATGTCAAGACAAACTGAGGTGTGTTTAGATTACAATTTTGACAAATGTGTATGCATTAATTTTGTCTTATAGACATGTCCAATAATTATTTTCCAATCTTGGAAAAAGAAACAGGACGTTAGAGTCTTGTACTACAAAGGGAGTTAACCTACTCTGGGTTATGAAGGAAAGGATGGGTTGACAAACTCTGACTTCCTAGATCAGTAGTAAAAGGAACTACGACGGTGAATAAGATGTTAATTGATTCAGTGTTAGCTTAATTGGAACACATTATTCTATGGAAAAAATTGTGCACGAAATACGCACAAACTCCACTTAACAATTGGACCAATTAACATTGTTTCATAATGGCGCATTTTCCCTATGCACAATGATAATGTCAGAGTATGTGGAGTGGAAAGAAAAGTTAACTGCCAAATCTAACACCGTGGCAGCCAACACAGCCAGGGAGGCTTGTTGGCAGCGCATTAGGTACATTGAAAGTGTTCTTGTTGTAATTCTCCATTTTGTCCTATGGATTCTTCTTTTATTTGTGATATGACTGAGATGTAAAGGTACAACTGTTATTTAGGGCAATTCTCTGCTTTAAAAAAATACGGAGCCGGGGGAGATGGATAATTATCTGAGATAAAACTTGAAAAGAATTTCCAAAATGAAAGTGGTAAATTTACAGAAAAAAAAAAAACAATCTGCAAGTAATAAAATTACAATTCTGGATGTTATGCACTGGAGATGACATGTTTTATATCTAGCAACCTTAGGACCTGTTTGAAAAGCGTAGACTGAAAATTTGTGCCTCGATCAGTCTGTACAATTTTTGGCAAACCGAAGGTAGAGAACAAGGTAATTAACCCTGAATGGAACGGAAGTGATTTTGCGTTGTTCTACTGCTTCGGGATGACGAGTGGAAGCACACATGATGGTGAGTAGGTATTGGTTCCCTGCTTTTGTTCTGGGTAGTGGACCACCACAGTCCACTATGTCCCACTTGAATGGCTCTTCAAAAGCAAGTATAGGGCACAATAGAGCGGGTAGAATGTTCGGCTTGCATGCTAAATGGCTAGAGTGGCAGTGTTGTCAACATCGGACTTTAGGCCAGAAAGTGTTTCAAAATGAGTTTATAGGATTTGTTGAAGGCAACGCTAGGGACGCCTGGCGAGGCGTTACAACACTGGCTGGCCTCCCCATTAACAACTCCACCACGCAACGCATCATCAGGGACAATTGACTCTGTCAACATGGACCTCAATCAACTCTACTCCAGGTTTGACCAGTCTGATTATTCACAAGAGATGAAGGAGCTAATAGCTGAGCTCACTCCTATGATACCTGCCCAAGCAAACCTGGAGCTGCGGCACGAGGAGGTGGCACTCATGCTGAAGAGGATGAAACCAAACAAAGCACCAGGACCTGATCACATCTGTCGCTGGGTTGCTGAAGGCCTGTTGCAGCCAGCTGGCAGGTGTTTTCTGTTATTTGTTCAACCTCTCCCTGTCGGAACATTCAATCCCATCAGCCTGGAAATCCTCGGTCATCTGTCCAATAGCCAAAAAAGCAAACACCGGCCTGAGGAGGTAATGGAGACGGCACCCAAAACAAACCAGGAAATCTCCCGCGGTGAGTAAGTCAACGCCAATTTTTGAGGCTCTGCGTAATTATGCAGGAAGGACACAAACTGGTTTGTGCCACCATATCATCTCGCTCTGAGAGCTTTGGTGTAGTGTTTAACACTTCGAGTGCAGGGGTTACCCTACCCCCAGCAATATTGTTCCCATACAGCACAGCAATACCATGGATTGGCAATGCTGAACAGACAGCTACAGGGAAACGATTGTTGATTAACCAAGACTACTACCCTGCATTATGGCATGAAAAGAATTCCCTCTCCTCTCGGTGCAGTGTGGGTTTGTTAACATTACTGGAGCAGCACAAGGTTTGTCAGAGGGTAGGGAAGAATATGTAGCTTTATGCGTAAGCACATCAGCCAAGACAGCTGCAACAGATAGAGACTTCACCTTTTGTCTGTTTAAATATATCATCATGCACTCAGGCAATCATCTCTTAAACTGGGGTGGTGATGGTGCAGTGGATAAGACATCCATTGGTGTGAGTCCCGGATTCAATGTGTCCCTGAGCGACACACTTCCCTCCAGAGGCATGCAACCTCTGACATACATAGCAAGTATAAGTCTCTTTGGGGTCATAATCCAAAACTATCCTGTAGAGAGAATGCTGAGACTATCTCCTGGGCTTTCCAATGGATTCGACACTGTAACAGTAAAGACCACATATCTGTGGGCCACCAGGCTTCGTCTGCTTCTATTTCCAGCCGTTTGACTTGCAGGTGGAGCTTAAGCTCTGCTTGATGATCCAATGCTTTTTGCTGAGCCTTCTGATGGAGACAAGCTTGGCATACCTACAACCGAGCCTCTTCTCGCGACCCAGAAGAGCCAGAGACAAGGAGTTGAAATGAGGAAGAGTAACCGGCGTTCACACGCCCCCGACCTTAAAGTCAACACCAAAGGCCAGATGCGCCATTAGCTCCTCTACAGCACCGGGAGTTTTTTCCTCATGGCTACCTTTAACCAGAGCACCATAATCCTGCACAAAAGACTCTGGAGGTGCTGACAAAACAATCACCTTCAATTCAATTTTATTTATATAGCGCCAAATCACAACAACATTTATCTCACAGCGCTTTTCATGAAAGAGCAGGTCTAGACCGTACTCTATGATGCTATTTACAGGAGAGAGAGAGAGAGAGAGAGAGAGAGAGAGGTTGCTATAGTACAGATATTTATAATAGTGTTAATGGTAACCATCGTAATGTTAATGATTATAATAACAATAAGACTAGCAACAATAGTCGTTGCAGCAGAGGGTGTCGAGCAGGAACACGGGGGCAGCAGGTGACCTGCAGCCACAGATCCAGACTCCACAGCTCCAGAGCCAGAAAACCTGCAGGAAGTGATAGGAGGAGAGAGGAGAGGGACGAGAAAGCACAAGACTACAAGGGGAGAAGTTGTGTTAGTAACATGCAATAATGGGATGAGGTTGCATACAGAGGGAGAGAAAGTAGAGGAGAGAGGAGCTCAGTGCATCATGGGAAATCCCCCGGCAGTCTAGGCCTATAGCAGCATAACTAAGGGATGGTTCAGGACTCACCTGAGCCAGCCCTAACTATAAGCTTTATCAAAGAGGAAAGTCTTAAGCCTACTCTTAAATGTGATGGTGTCTGCCTCCTGAACCCAAACTGGAACCTGGTTCCACAGGAGAGGAGCTTGATAGCTGAACGCTCTGGCTCCTAGTCTACTTTTAGAGACTCTAGGAACCACAAGTAACCCTGCATTCTGGGAGCGCAGTGCTCTGGTGGGGTAGTAAGGTACTATGAGCTCTTTAAGATAAGATGGTGCCTGACCATTAAGAGCTTTGTAGGTAAGAAGAATGATTTTAAATTCTATTCTGGATTTTACTGGAAGCCAATGCAAAGAAGCTAAAACAGGAGAAATATGTCTTTTCCTGGTTCCTGTCAGAACACGTGCTGCAGCATTCTGGATCAGCTGAAGAGTCTTAATGGACTTTTTCGAGCAGCCTGATAATAAAGAATCGCAGTAATCCAGCCTAGAAGTAACAAATGCATGGACTAGTTTTTCTGCATCATTTTTAGACAGGATGTTCCTGATTTTCGCAATATTACGTCGGTGAAAAAAGGCGGTCCTTGAAATTTGCTTAATGTGAGACTTAAACGACATGTCCTGATCAAAGATAACTCCAAGATTCCTCACAGTGGTGCCTGGAGGCCAAGGCGATGCCATCCAGGGAAACTATATCTTTAGATAATGCGTCACGGAGGTGCTTAGGCCCCAGAACAATAACTTCAGTTTTATCTGAGTTTAACATGGGAAAATTACAGGTCATCCAGGTTTTAACATCCTGAAGGCACATTTGAAGTTTAGCTAACTGATGAGTTTCATCTGGCTTGATCCACTTCACTAATAAACCTTAAGGAGCCGTAACATCCTTTTTTACCGCCTGTTTGGGAACTGGTATACTGAAGTGGGCAGAAATTATTTTTTAAATTAATGAATTTGTCATTTAGCTGATGATTTTTATCCAAAGAGACTTATTGCCATATTTGTCTACTGGGGGTTAAGTGTCATGGTTAGGTTGAGTGAAGTGGCAGGAAACTGAAGTGTGGACCTAAATGCAGACAATGGCAAGGAGGATGCAGTTCAAACAAACGATTTATTAAGCAACTTAAAACAGGCTTACTCAGGAGCACAGCAGTCAAACAGTCCAAACAAAGGTATCTCCAAACAGGCAGAGTAATTATCCAGAACGGGGCAGAGAAATAATCCATGAAACAAAAAACGGGAAGGAACACTGAACATTTGACGACAAGGACGCAACATAGACAAAACTGAACTGAAGGTTTAAATGCACAGGCAAACGATCAGTGAGGCAGTGCACAGGTGAAAGTCACGAGGAACTAATTAGGCACACAGAGAGACACAGTGAAGCAGGGCAGAGTGAAACATTAAGGCGAGACAGACCATGAAACCGAAACGGAACCAACCAGATTAAAGAATAAACCAAAAACACAAGCAGACAGATCCATTAACAAAATTACAAAAACCAGGTTATAAACTGAATATTGAATGAACAAGACTAAAATAAACTAACAGAACAAAGCTAGACAAGAACACCAGACACTGATGATAACATGAATGAAACAGGAAGTAAAGCACACAACAATACTCAAGGATGGACAAGACATACTGTAAATAACAAAGGACGAGGAACGAGAGAAACAAGGAACGAGAGAAACGGAGACAAATAGAAAGACACATGAAACAAAATGGAAAAACCAGAAAAACACAAAAAATACAACCCAAAACTTTTTACAAGTTAAGAGTCTTGCTCAGGGCCACAGTGGTGGATGTCAGGGTGGGAATTGGCCGAGATGGCCAGCTCCACCCCCTCACCCGTCTCTCATCTCAGAGAGGGACGTCAACAGACTATTAAGAAGGCAGAAACCTGGACCTGTGGTCCTTGGTTTGTCACCCTGACCTGTGGTAATGAAGTCTTTTGACCGCCTTGGGTTGACCTGCCTTAAATACATCACAGACCCTCTCCTGAACCCCCTGCAGTTTGCCCCTACAGGTCTGTAGATGATGTAGTAAACATGGCCCTTCACTTCATCCTCCAGCACCTGGACTCCCCAGGAGCATACGCCAGATTCCTGTTTGTGGATTTCAGCTCTGCTTTCAACACCATCATCCCGGCCCTGCTGCTCTTCTCCCTGTACACCAACAGCTGCACCTCCAGTCACCAGTCTGTCAAGCTCCTGAAGTTTGCGGATGACACCACCCTCATTGGGCTCATCTCTGGTGGGGATGAGTCCGCCTACACGTGGGAGATCGACCATCTGGTGACCTGGTGCAGCCAGAACAGTCTGGAGCTCAACGCTCTGAAGACAGTGGAGATGGTCGTGGACTTCAGGAAGAGCCCAACCCCACCCTCCCCCATCATCCTGTGTGACTCTGTCGTCACTGTGGACTCCACTTCCTGGGCACCATCATCTCCCAGGACCTCAAGTGGGAGCTGAACATCACCTCCCTCACCAAGAAGGCCCAGCAGAGGATCTACTTCATGCGGTAGCTAAAGAAGTTCAGCCTGCCAAAGACAATCATGGTGCACTTCTACACCGCCATCATTGAGTCCATCCTTACCTCCTCCATCACCATCTGGTACGTTGCTGCCACTTCCAGGGACAAGGGCCGGCTGCAGCGCATCAATTGCTCTGCAGAGAAGGTGATTGGCTGCAATCTTTCTTTTCAGGACCTGTACGCCTCGAGGACTCTGAGGTGAGCAGGAAAGATTGCAGCTGACTCCTCCCACCCTGGACACAAACTGGACGCTGCAATACGTCTGCACCACACAAACCCAGAGTAATGCACATGTAAATATCTGCCACCTTGTTCTTTCTCTACATATAGTTGTATTATTTTTCTCTATTCTTTTATTTTTCTTATATAACTTGCATTATTCCATATTTATATAATTCTACATCTATTTATGTTGTTTGTCTACGTGTAGCACCTTATCGCCAAAACAAATTTCTAGTATGTGTAAAAGACTACTTGGCAATAATCAACAACAAACAAACAGAAGAACCCACCTCTCTAGACTGACAGATCTCTACCACCTTACTACTGAAAGAAACTAAATCAAAACCATAGCTGGCTGTACAATTCTTACCTGTTGAAAACCGTGGAATGTGGCTGACTTTTCAGATACTGCAACAAACATGCTGAGCATAAGCGACTCTGTGTTTGCTCATTTCTCGCGCTGTCTGTGAAAGGCCACACCAAGGTGTGTTACACAAGTATAAAGAAAGCTTGAGTACACATGGACATAACTCCACAGTAGCATTTGTTTAATATAAATTTTGATATATAAACATTTTGTGTGTCACTAAGTTTTCTTTAATTTCTGGTTCTTTACTCAATCATTTGAAACGTTTGAAAATTTAGTTTTTTGTTGATCTCAGATTTTTTTTCCCCATTGTCAGTTTGCAGGTGTAATGTCATCGGCTCTCTTGGACCATTCTGCAGTAAACTGGGAGGATTCTGTGAATGCAAGCCCAATGTGATTGGCCGTTGCTGTGACACCTGTGCACCACTGACGTTTGGCTTTGGACCTGATGGCTGCAAACGTAAGGAACTCTTACAACTAAAATGAAATTAATCCAAACACACGATTCAACAAGAATTTTTTTAGGACAAATGAATTAAAATCAGTCCATGATGATTTTTTTTCCTGCTGATTATTAACAGCATGTGAGTGTGACCCTCGGGGTTCGATGTCAGAGCTGTGTGATCAGATCAGAGGTCAGTGTGCGTGTCGTTCAGAGGTAACGGGTCGTCGCTGTGATCGCTGTCAGACGGGATTCTGGGGTTTCCCATTCTGTCGACACTGTGAATGTAATGGACTGTCAGAGGTGTGTGATGAAGAGACCGGAGAATGTTTGAACTGCAGGGAGCACACCACCGGACCAAACTGTGACAGGTTGAGTATACACATAATACAATTACACGTCATACATCAATCATATAGCTGTGTGTTATGTAGGGTTGTTTCATTCCACAAGGTAAAATAATGCAAGAGCAACATTTATTTACCTATATGTTCCTTTTTTAAAATTTTGTAAGTTAACCAGAGTTTTGTTACAATCAACTTCTGTGAGTTTGTTTTGTCTTTTGCAGACCTCATTCCCATTTGAGAAATAAGTTTCCACTGTGGCTCAAGACTGAGAAGGACTTTCTCCCTTTCTCCCCTAAACTCCACATCTGTTCTTTAGCAAGTGTTTTAGTTATCTTTTTCTTCGAGTCAGCGTCTCTGCATACACTACAGTGTAGAGAGCTGCTCTTCAGCTATGGAGTTGTATGTGTGCCACGTTCCTGAGCGTGCAGGGGGCAGCGAGAAAATCTAAATTTGAGCAAAGACAAATCTGTTCTGTTTGCTCTAATCCCTGCAAACTGCTGCCAACTCGACTTGGCACAGCGTTACCATGTGCCATGAAAACCAGACAGACACAGACAGAAAGTTATCCTGTTATCAATCAGGTCGATATCTGGGGTTCGACATTGTGAAAGCACTGTCACGCTACATCAGGTGGCTTGATTCAGATTCCAACATTTTATAGTGCTACAGTCGCATTGTTTCACCATATCTTCACATTTCTCAAGCCATCGGCTGATAATGTACAAGGATGTTGGATTGCCCAGTCATCCACTGAAGCACATGCAGAACTGCAAGACACTCTGGCTTTTCAGATGCTGCACAGTCTGTTTCCCCGGCTACATTCAAATGATGATCTATGCATGTACAGTATGTCATGGAATTGAAAAACAAGTATTACAATTCTGATTAAAGCTGAAGGCAGCGTTGGGCGGGCCCCCAAACGGTGACCCACGCTGCAGCTCTGCCGACGCAGCTCTGAATTGTCGCGCACTTTGGAGGCTGCACGAAGGACTTAAACATCACTTCTTGTGTCCCCTAGGTAGCGCTAGAGCTCAAGAGTACATCAAGTGTGGAGCAGATAGTGAAACTTTCATGTAAATTGTGTGAGTGTCGCACAGAGCTTCCTTCCTGTTGCCAGCTGGTGGCGCTATGAATGAGTGAATATTGGCATGTAGATGTGTTCCGGGCAGGATGGTTATCAAGCACGTAAAGTTTGGTACAGATTTGAGCACGTACAGTGACGTCACAACAACTTCCTGTTTCATGCTGAATGATAGATTTTTGACACCACCCCACGGGCCCGCCTTTAACGACAGTTTGTACAACTTTTGATCACCAATGCAAATATTTGAAGTCGATGGGATTAAGTTTGTTAAAGTATGGGGTTTGTAAATCACACAAAATGACCGTTACATTAAAAATCGCTCCAAGATGCTTTTTTGTATGTCTGGACATGAACATACTTCTCAATGAAACGTGTCGTGGGGGCAGCTCTTTAGGGGGCGCTATTTGTTTGATCAAAATTAGATTTTTTCTTCAAAATACCATTTGTGTGCTTGTGAAAGTCCCAATGCACGCTCAGGAATGAGGCACACATGTAACCCTAAATCACTTCCTCTGCTACTCTTATGTTTTGTAGTAACTTCTTTATTTCTTCATTTCAACCTGTTTTAACTCATAGGCTCTCGTGTTTCTTGTCAAATTTGATCTTTTTAGATATTTTACACTGAAATGTTTGAGTACATGAGGTCCTGTAGATGTTCTGATAACACACCTGTGTTGCTGATGCAGGTGTGTGGAAGGTTACTATGGTAATCCCGTCTCCAGACAGCCCTGTCAGTCCTGCCTGTGTCCAGACGTTCAGAGCAGTGGACGATTCTTCGCCACTTCCTGCCAACAGGACCCACAATCCCTCAGTGTGACCTGTAATTGCAGGGAAGGGCACACAGGTGAGCTGACTCATGTCTCAGCAGAGTGTCAGTTTGACAAGAGGGGAGAAAGAGATTCTTTTTTTTGTTTTATGTTCATAAACCTTCCGACTCCCTCAGGTCCACGCTGCGACCGATGCCGCCCCGGTTTCTATGGTAACCTGGTTTTGCCAGGTGCCAGGTGCGAGAAGTGTCGCTGCAACAACAACATCGACCCAGACGACCACCACGCCTGCGACAGCCTGACAGGAGAATGTCTGCATTGCCTCTACAACACAATGGGACCCCGCTGCCAAGCCTGCAGACCTGCTTACTATGGCAATGCCCTAGACCAGGATTGCAAAGGTAAAGACAAAAAACAGATGAAAGTTTATATATATCGCACATTTCATACAAAAAGCAATACAACACACTGTCTGTCCATCCGTCTATTTACTGCCTCCGGGTCTAACCCTGGATTGCCTCCCAGCTGGACGTGCCCAGAAAAGCTCCTCACCCCGTCTCCAAAGCCAAGTCCAGGCACCCTGCAAAGGACACTGATTAGGGTTCTTTCAGTCACTAGTCAGTAGGGGTGCAATGGTTCAACAAGCCCACTGTTCGGTTTGTGTTGCAGTTTGTGGGTCAGGGGTTTGGTTCGGTTTGTTCAGCACATTAGGAAGAATAAAAACATGACAGTCTGTGTTCTTTCTGTATTTTCTCTGCAAGAATAACATTGTCTTATATACAGACATGTGAATATATGAAATCAAAATTTTGTTACTCAGGCTATTTAAAGCAAAAATACTTTCAGTATAGCTGAAATCTTTGTTTTTCATTAACTGCAAAAATAACATTTTCAATTTAAACATTAACAAAAAAATATAATTATATTAACAGATAATCTAGCATCTCCGCGACCCTGTACGCAGGATAAGCGGTTGACGACATCAATTATGTCTGTAGTGGCTTTACATGTGTGTTTAGTTTGTTACTGTCCTCCATTTTTAGGTTCTTCTGCAAAAAGATAAGTTTGCAAACACTCTTTGCTGCAAGACTAGATCTGCTTGCACTTACAATGTCCCCTGCAGTTGAGAAAACTCTTTCACTTGGTACAGACATTGCGGGGACACAGATGTTGCAACATGAGGATAGTTACTCCCATTTGCCTCCCAATTCATCAGCTAAGTGTGTGCTTGTGTGGCTCTCATAAAGGGGACGTGTTTGTAATACTGCACTTTTCATCTCCCAGCTCAAAATATAATGAACACTCTCAGTCAGATAACTCTCAGTTGCCCTGGAGGTCCCAAGATTGCTGGTAAGAGCTGTGTTAGAAGTTTTGGCCAGTTGGTTCTGAATTCCCACACGAGTCTGTTCATAGAACTCAAGAATTACTCAAATGTAATGCAAAATGTGATGCTGCTCAAGGTTTTTCACCAAATGGCAAAATCCTGCAACGGTAATAACTGAAAATGGCTGTAAATCTTTAGCTATGAACACCCCAACAGCTTTAGTTACTACTTTGTGTTTTTCTGAATTTGTCTGAAATGTCTTTTGAAAGGCAGCGGGAAGGAGAGATTGTTGTTTATTTCCTGTCAAGTGCGAATCTTTCCTCGTTCCGACCGGGGATATGTTTGGGTGATGCCGGCGTAAATGTGCCATCATATTAGATGTATTAACGTTAGCATACTTTACATGTGTCAAGCATGTGTCATGCTTACAGACGGTCTCCGTTTTAGTGACGACCTTCGCTCCATCGGTATTGTAGTCAACGCTAAATCCAAACTGCTCCCATACAGGTGACTTAAAAGACAATGGGGCATCCTCATGTGTTAACTTTTTGCCTCCACACGCCATCTCCACATGCCTAACGGTAGCATCCGTATGATTTGCCCCTCTCCAGTTTCTTCCAGTAACGTTACGTGATTCGTTATCGATATACTGACAGTTCATTGGACACGTACTCTCCAGGGAAGGGGAAGGACAAAGGGTCTTGGGTTGTGTGCAAAGGAACCGAAAAACTGCGGATTACATGTAAAAACCGAGCCGTGGTTTGTTTATTCAACAATTCGGGTTTTTGCGGTTCGGTTTTGCACCCCTCTAGCCAGAGACCATGACAACAGCTAAGGAGTGGAACAGATTATGTATCCAGAGCTTCACTTTGAGCATCAAAACCTTCAGAACCACTACAGTCTGGTTCAAAGTCCACATTACTACTTATGCTGCTCAGATCCACCTGTTGATCTCACCTCAGTCTGAGCCTCAGTGGTGAACAAGATACTGGATCTCCTTCACCTGGGGCAGTGACTAACTCCAACCAGAAGGGAACCATCCACTGTTTTCCAGCAGAATAACATGACCTCAGACTGGGAGGAGCTGGATCTCATCCTGCTGCTTCACACTAACCTGTAAAGTGTTCCAGAGTCTTAGTCTGATGAAGCCAAGTTTACAAGGCACACTGGTGAGCAGTTGGACAGCTCGGCTCCTCTTTTTAACCAGGTGTCCATTACACAACGATCTCAGCCTCAGGTGTTCTGGAACCACCTACAATTATCAATCACCTTGTGCTCCAACTTAGGGTTCGTTATGGACAATCTATGACTATTACAGACAGGTTCAGATCAGGTAGGATGTTTCTCCCTATCACCCCCTCCATGTTGCTCCATCATTGTTCACGTAAGTGTTGAAGTGTCCCAGCTGACCTAGGGAGTTCCCAGGCAGTATGTTCTCTAGGACTCTCTGGAGACTCCCAGAAGGCCACACACAATGCTATTTGTTGTATAATCCCAGGAACATTTGTATTCTCATGATACAATTTTGTATTCTTGTGCCCCTTCTCCCGAGACTGCTTGTGCAAATTTGCAGCATGCTCTTATTGACTTGAAGCTGATTTTGGTTGCTAACAAGATTAAGGCTGGTATTTGCTAGAAATGTCAAGGTTCCAGCTCTGTCTATGAATTCCCTTCAAGGTGTAACTATCGAGCTTGTTAATTTTTCTATGGCTTCACGTAAACAGCTGGTTGCAGGTTTGTTCCTGTCTCAGTTATGTTACAGCGACTTCATCGGTCGCTTTGCTTGTCCTACAACTTTGTCCAAACTCTACCCTCTTTATTATTCTGCTCTCAGATATATTACAGATGCAGCCTATAAGACACATTGTTATACCTTTTATACAGCTTAGTAAACTGGACATCCCATGGAACACGAACGATGCTACCCTGGAATACTTTCATCTACAAGGCCATACTTTGCTTGTTACCTACATATATAAGGCTTAATGTGTACAAAGTAGATATAATTTAAGATCTAATGCTGGACTGTAATGCAAGGTATTGAATGTGTGAACTGAAGCTGGAGGGAGTTTTATTACGGCCCTTGGCCTTGGAATGAGCTTCGTTGTTAGACTTAAGTTTGTTACACTATCCCTTTGGCTGCCATCAAAAGAAGGTTCTAGAAAATCTTAATTAACAAGCACTTGCTTTCATGCTTAGTCCAACAAGTTATATGGATAACATGTATGTACACTATCTCACATTTTAGTAAATATTTGATTATATCATGTGACAACACTGAAGAAATGACTCTTTGTTACACTGTAAAGAAGTGAGTGTATAGCTTGTTATAACAGTGTAAATTTGCTGTCCCCTCAAATTAACACATCAAATTGGACCAAAAGTGTCAATATTTTGTGTGGCCATCATTATTTTCCCGCGCTACATTAACCCTCTTGGGCATGGAGTTCACCAGAGCTCCACAGGTTGCCTCTACTCCTCCATGAGGACATCACGGAGCTGGTGGATGTTAGAGACCTTGCGCTCCTCCACCTTCCGCTTGAGGATGCCCTGCAGATGATCAATAGGGTTTAGGTCTGGAGACATGCTTGGCCAGTCAATCACCTTTACCGGTAGCTTGGCTACCGGTACATTCAGTGTCAATGAACATTAGCACACATGACAATCAAAACACAACACTAAAACTAATTATTATTATTGTTCATGATGTCACCTGTCTGTCATAAGGAAAAACACAACTGTGGATATGTAACAGCGGGTAAATCATAATCTTTTGCCTAATTTTTATTTAATTAATTTCATCAGTGCGGTGTCTGTCACATCGGTCTGCTTCACTTTCCCTGTCCTTGCAACTATAACTTCCACTAAGAAAAAGAAAACAAAGTGTTACTTTGTGGCTTTAACAACGACACAATGTAGGCTACAGATAACCTGCAACCCCTGCTAGAGCAAGATAACTACACAACGATCAGTATTTAATGATTAATTAGGCTATAATCAAAACTCATGTTAAGTCTAACCTTCGGGACAAACTGGACAGGAGTCGGGACAACTGCTCCTAATTCGTGACTAACCCTAGATTGGGCATTTGAGCCTTTAGGATTGGGCATTTAGGATTGAGGTGTGTATGCAAATGATGGGGCGTGGCCCAAAGACTGGAGGCTTGGTTTGAAATGACTGACCCAAAAATCTCTTCATAATTTTGAGGGGACAGCAAATTTACACTGTTATACAAGCTGTACACTCACTTTCCATTGTACATTACAAGTGTCATTTCTTCAGTGTTGTCACATGAAAATATATAATCAAATATTTACAAAAATGTGAGGGGTGGACTCACTTCTGTGAGATACTGTATCTCTGTCATTGCTGCTTGTGTAAGTTATTTTCTGTTTGTTTTATTTTAATTGTGCTGTCCTCTTGACCAGGTCTCCCTTGTAAAAGAGATTCTGTCTCAATTGGATGTTTCCTGGTAAATTAAACTAAAAATTTAAAATTTCTAGTCACCCACATCCACCAGTTGCCTTTCACAGTCCCCCATGATGGGAGGCGGGGGAGGCAGACAAGGGTTTAAACGTTGACTTCTGGACTATTTTTCTTTAAACCTCAGCAAACTGAACATTTCCATGTGCATCTGGTTTATGTGTATATTTCTTTATTTTCCAGAGTGCTCCTGTGACCGGCGGGGGACAGAGGTGACTCAGTGTCCTCTGGGGAGCCCTTGTTTCTGTGATTCGAGGACGGGACAGTGTCCCTGCAGGAGGGGGGTGGTGGGCATCCTCTGTGATGCGTGTGAGGAGGGATACTGGAACCTGGATGGAGCATCAGGGTGTCAACCCTGCAGCTGTGATCGTCTTAACTCTTTCTCCAACACCTGCAACAAGGCAAGACCACCACCAACCACATGTTCAAATCAAAGTGACCACACTGAATACTTTGAATATACCTCACACTACAAACCAGAATCACATCAAGCACACCCAACTGTAAGAAACCTTCTGTGTAACTTTAAGGGATAAATTAATTGATTTTGTACGTCAGTAAGTAAAGTTTCTGTATATTGCACGTTTCAGGTGTCACATAGTGTTTAACGATAAAGAGGACATAATAAAGAGACATACTGTAAAGGTAATTACAGTAGATGATAAAACATTTCTTAAATGTAGCTGTGATGCGTTCAGGTGACGGGACAGTGTCCGTGTCGTCTTGAGTTTGGAGGAAGACAGTGTGACGAATGTGGAGAGAATCATTTTGGGAATCCAGATCTGCAGTGTATCTGTGAGTGAAAACAGACTCTAGCGTTGTCTTTAACTCTTTCTGGGACAGAGCTCCAGGTAGTTTTATTTAAAGAGGTCATGTCTCGTTCTTAGCTTGTGACTGTAACATGGAGGGAACGGAGCGACCGTCATGTGACCCTGAAACCGGGGAGTGTATCTGTCGGACTGGCATCACTGGTATCTTCTGTGATGAGTGCGCCCCGGGCAACAACTCAGCGTTTCCAGCCTGCGAGGAGTGCCACCCCTGCACCGCCCTCTGGGCCGAAAATGTCACAGATGTCCAGCGAGCCGTGCAAAGGATGAGAACTTTGATCCCTCGCCAGAGCCACGACCTGCTGCCCACAGACGGTCACCGGCAGTGGATGCTGGAGATGCACTCCAAGCTGGACGGCCTCTGCAACCTGACGGGCCTCTCCCCACCGAAGGTGAAGCAGGTGGAGAAACAGTATATGATGATTGGGTAAGTTCTAACTTATTAACTAATAATCTGTAGTTTTACATCAGAAAACACAGTAACACCATCAGAGTTCATTAAAACACTTTAAAGGGTCTACATAGTCCACAGTGTTCATTTAATTTGTTCAGCTGTTGTTGTTTTTGACTCTATAACCAGTGATTGAAGTGGTTAAAAAAATACCCCGTATTACATTGATATACAGTATCCTGTCTCGCTCCTCCTCTGCTGGGTCTTATGGTAAGGTCTCTACCTCCACACACATTCAACATTAAAACAATAATGTGTTCTACCCTACAACACTTCTAACATAATAAGACTGAAATGTGACAAGAAATAAGACCTCATCTTAATATTAGCAAAACATTGTAAATGCACACCTGGTTAACATCAACACATGCACTCATGTGCTGTGCCACAGCCTTTAGAGTTATAGTCACTTCCTAACTATAGTATAGTTAGGAAGTGTAACCTACAACATTGACTGACTTGAGGGTTACCAACTGATGTAGCTAGAGGGGTCCACATATTTGTCAGTTGTTGCAGTTAAACTGCCGTCCTTTGAAGTAACACCTAAAACACTGCTGAGGGTCCAACTGTGTGCACACTTTGTCACGGTCTGCCATGGTTTTCGTTCACTTTCGGCATCATGCACCACCGTGCACCTGGAACGCATTGAGGTCGGAAGTTTCTATTCGGAAATATCCCAGTTCCGACCGGTTTCGAACGCGGCATTTGTGTCCACTCAGTTGAATCCTCAGCTGGTGTTGATTTAAAATGAGTGAAATAAATACAAATTACTCGTTAATTGTGTTGTGTTTCACATTTTAAAGTTTTCCTGAATAACTGTGTGTAGAGAAGACTACATTCAGAGACAGAGCCCGACAATCGCATAGGGGCAGGAAGTGTAGTGAAGAGGGAGGAGAGGTGAGGAGCAGAGAAAAATACAATGGTCTCATGCGTTATACGTACCTCTGACTACATTTTTGCAGCTCCACAATTACGTACTCTCAGGCACATTTTGCCACAGTTTTGTGAAACAAATGTCCACTGGGGGTGCTAAAGAGACGGACAGTAATGGAACACTACGATCACATTAGAAACCTCAACTTTTATACTTGTATATAAATATACTATTTTACAGCAGTGAACAAGTGTATGTACTGTCACAGCCCAGTTCTTGGACTGTAACAAAAATGGGAGACACACGGGTAAACTAAATAACAAATTGATTTATTGATAAGAGCAAAACCAATAGAGTATCAGTGTTCATCAGTGTTCCGTTGATCTTTTTGGTTGTGATGACAGATTTTTGGTCAAATTAAACTGTTAAAATTCACTCTTAAAACAAACTGATGTTCTCTCTGTAAAAAGTTGAACTCGATAATCAAACAGTTTTAAATGCTTTCTTCCTAACAGGAAGCTAAAAGACGCCATCGGCCTGAACTTGATCCTGATCGACCCGTCTCCTCTCCTCAACACTGAAATCGACAACATTCGTTTGGAGTTTATGAAGCAGCTGAACAACCTGAAGGAGAAACTCATGGATGATCCAGACCATGCAGATGAAGACCTAGAGGGTACAGAGATGTTGTTCTTGTAATGTTTTAACACCCATCCATCCATCCATCCATCCATCCATCAAGCACCCCCATGTGTCATGTTGTTAATGCCGTCATCACAGACCAGTCTGTGCTTCTTTACGAGCTCCACTTCTTCTTCTGTAGTTTATTTCTGAACTCGGTGTCTCCTCTGATCCTGTTGTAGAGCTGCAGGATGAGATCCAGAGGCTTCATACAGCCTTCATGTCGGATGAGAAGAGGGTCAGAAATGCCAACAAAGCTCTGGAGCACTCAATGGACACCAGACAGGAAGTCAAACTCAAACTGAGCATGTGCAGCAGCAGAGACCCAGTGCTGCTGGAGAGGAAGGTCAAAGAGCTAAGCGCAGTCAACCTTAACCTAAAGGTGAGTATAAACCTGCTGAGTCACATGACCCACACACCAACCAGTCAGAGGTATATGAAGTAGCTCCTGTTTGTCTTGAACCCTAAGCCTTCATACCTTAACCAACATGTTGTGGTTTGATGTAGATCTGTGGAGGACAAGGTCTGGAGGACTGTTCTGGATGTGGTGGAGCTTTGTGTGGTCTGAATCTGGGAAAAAGGAAATGTGGCGGTCTAAACTGTGATGGAGTACTTTCTGTCAGTCAGATGGCTTCAGAGACGGCAGAGAGAGTGAAGGACAAGCTCATCCTACTCCCAGCCAGACTGCAGGAGTCCAACAGCAAGGCAGGTTTAAACTGGGAGAACTGGTGACTCAGAGGTCCAGTCCACTTCCTGGTCCAGATATACCAGCTTTTGAAGAATGTCATTTAAATCCTGTGACCAGAATGAATAAGTTCTCCTGAAGTCTCGTTAGAAAGAGAACTGGTTCAACAGTAACATTTAAACAGCCTCAGCAGCAGCTGTAAATTCAAGTTGCACAGGTCACACCTCACAAACTAGTTCTTGCATAGAGATGATTTCCACCCACTAACTGCCAGATGTGACGGCCGCCAGCTGATGGCCAACAAACAACTCCGTACAAACACTGAGGCTTCACTGTTGAGTAAATGTTATAACTGTTCATTGTGTGTCAGATCAATGATGGCAAACAGGCGGCTCGGGACACCAAAGACCTGCAGCACCGGATCAATGACAACATGGACTCCTTTGAGAGAGAGAAGAAGAAAACCAAGGATCTCATCCTGCAAGTCAAAGACCTGATGGGTCAGTGTTCAGGTGATACCTCAGGATGCTAGTCCTGACCTGGAGAACCGGGTTCAGTCAATCGGTCAGTTCACAGATGGAGAGGTTCTCATGATGCATTGAGCGCCAAGTCAGACCTATCAGAGCTGGTAATTGTGTCTTAAAATATACAGTCTCAGGATGTGAACCCCGTTTAATGACCTGGATTTCTGGTCATAAAATGTGATCTGACCTTCATCTAAGTCTCAACAACAGATAAACACAGTCTGCTTAAACTAATACCCCACAAATGGTTTTATGTTGTCATGTTTATATGGAACACACCGTGTAAATATTTGTGACAGCACAGCTGTAGGAAGTGATGCTACGGGGTGTGAGCCACACTGACATCAGCGCTTGCTGTCTGCAGTATTCACCTCCGTGCCGTTTGCTGTTCGTTCAATGGAGATTGAAAGATTGAATTTGGGACCATTCCTCTTCACAAATCTGTCTCAGTTCAGCAATATTCTTGGGATGTCTGGTGTGAATCGCTCTCTTCAGGTCATGCCACAGCATCTCAGTCAGGCTGAGGTCACGACTCTGACTGGGCGACTCCAGGAGTTGTATTTTTTCTGCTCTGTTGATTTACTTCTGTGCTTTGGGCCATTGTCCCGTTACATCACACATCTTCTGTTGAGCTTCAGTCGGTGGACAGATGTCCTTACATTATCTGTCAAACTTTCTTTAGAAATTTTGGAATCATTTTTTCCGTTGACGATAGCAACCGTTCCAGGTCCTGAAGCAGTCCCAAACCATGATGCCCCCTCCACCATACTTCCATTTCTTCCACATAGGGTTGTGGGTTCCTTCGAAAAAACTCGACTTTGGTTTCATCTGTCTATGGAATATTTTGCACTAGAGCTGCGGAACATCCTGGCGCTCTTTTGTAAACTTGTTGTGACAGTGGCATCCTCCCATGAACCTCATTCTTGTTCAGTGTTTTATGAATCGTAGCGTCATGTTAGCGTGTTCCAGAGTGTTCAGCTGACCCTCTTGGATCCTTCTTTCCTCATTGGGCATTCTGCACTGTGCTTGTGTAGTCATCTCTGCAGGACGGCCACTCCTAGGGAGAGTAGCAACCCAACTGCCCTGTGAATGTTTACACGGTGTGTTCACTAAAAACATGAAAACACAAAACTATTTGTGTGGTCTTACTTTAAGCAGATTGTGTTTGTCTGTAGTTGAGACTTAGATGAAGATCAGATCACATTTTATATGGAATTCCAGGTAATACCAAATGGTTCACATACGTTTTCCTGCAACTGATCAATATGGTAACTCTAACATAATATGAACACAAAATTTGTTTTAGAAAAGTTTCAGAAGGCCAAGGGTAGCAGCTCAAGAGTTTTATACTGATAATATACTTAAACAACATCATGTTTGCTCCCCAACAGATGAGAGGGTTCCTCCAGAAGACATTGAGAAATTGACCCGAGCTGTTCTGGACAACCAGCTGCCACAATCACCTAATCAGATCCGATCAATGATCAATGAGATCAGTAACCTGCTGGCCAGTGGCACCAATTTCCACGACGACCTGGAGAACCTGGAGGAGCACGCCAGGACTACCCAAGACCTGCTGCAGAAAGCTAAGCAACTCAAGTCAGTGAATGAAAACATGAAATAACTGTGAAAACACTACACATCTGTTAGCTCGGTGAAAACTTTAACTAAAAAAGGAAACGCTGAATAACAAAACTGGAAACCCTCAGCTGACAAAACACAAACCTTTTACTAGAAACATGAAACCACCTTTAACTTTAGGTTCCCTGGAGGATGCATCCCACTAGTGTGTTTTGATGTCCTGACTCATTGATTAGTGATCGGCTGAGTGACTACTCTAATCTGATATCTGACCACAGTCCAGGGCCCAGTTCTTCATATGTTTTTCATACTTTCTTCATATGTGGATAACCAAGTAATCCAGATTAGAGTGTTACAATTTGACACAAGTCTGGTTTTGTTTGCTTTTCTGAAGCTGGCATACTGATCGGATCAGTTCAGTCATCACAGCCTATCTTCTAAGTCTGGGCTGAGTGATTCATTGTCTGAGTGGATTACAGACTTTCTTTGGACCCATGCTCCTCAGCCTGCAGCCCTCCAGACTTCCTGGCTGCTAGCCACCAGTCTTCCTCCCGGCCTGCCTGCCTGTGTTCTGGACAATCTCCCTGCATCTTGGCCTGTTGGCCACCCCGGCATCCAGCCTCTTCTGACTTGTCTTTTCAGCTTAATCGCTGCCCAGCTCCTTGTGATCGCTGCCGTCCAGTGTTGCGGAGGGCTTACTAGCCGGCATCCCAGATACGGAGCTGCCAGAGACTTTGTTGCCTGGTTTAGTAGAGACCATGCTACCCAGCTCACCAGAGATCCAGTTGGTTAGCATGCTACAGGCTCAACTCATCAGAGCTCCAGAGAATGTACTGGCCGGCTTCAGTGTTTGTTTTCCAGCGTACCAGAGACTTTGCTGGCCAGCTCTGAGATTCAGCAATCCAGCACCCCTGAGCCTATGTTTTTCTGTACCACGGAGCAACCACCGGTCCCTCTTTGTTCTCCGACAGCGGCCAAGCAATCAGCTGCCCCTGCTTCTCCATTGGCGATCCGGTCGACAAGTTTCCCCGACTCCACCAGCTCTCCTGTTTGGCTCCCAGTTTGTCATTGGTCTCCTGTTCTGCAGCCCTGTTGGCGGTCTCTGTTCCTGCTTTCCAGACTTGGATTTCGGTCACGTTGTCCGGCCTCCAGAAAGCTTTTGTCTTTGCTGCCTCTGGACCTGCTCAATTTTTCTGTTTAGCCCTCTGACCATTCACCTGAGACACCAGCTCCTCGGATACGTGCCCCTGGATCCTTCCTCTGGACCCCCTTCATCCACCCAGTTTGATTTGGACTTTTTTCCACCAGCTATTTGACTATTGCTCTGCTAACCGGACACTTATCCTTGGTATTTAGCAGCTTTACCTCGTCTGTCCGTCTCTTCCCCTCTCACATTTTGACAATTTTAAAATAAGGGTGCACCTTCATTCAAGATAACTTCATCTTGGATAACAAATTAATCCTCAAACTGCTTTCAAAAGCCAAATTGGCTGGATGAGAAAAAAACAAGGTTATTTTAGCCTGATAATAACAGCATGTTGAATTGACATGTTGACCTGAATTAGTTAAAACACATTTGAAGGGCCCTGAACTGCTGGAGAAATCCTTGTATTTTGAAGCTGTTATTTTTTGTTTTTAGGGAGCAGACAAAGAACATTGATGTGGAAGAGATCCGCAGAGACATTTATGAAGCAGAGAAAACTCAGAACAAAGCTGACAGCAACCTGGAAACAGCCAGCCAAGATACAGACATGACCAGAGACCAAGTCCAAGGCGTAAAGATGGACAATATCTCAAATCTGTCACAAGTTCAGAACAGCATGTTTTTGATGTGTTTAAACATGTTTTTTCCGTCATGTTTCAGATAAAAAACAAACTGAATGACATTGTGACAACGCTGATGAATCAAAGTCCTGAAGATATGCAGGATGAGATTGAAGCCCTGAAGAAGAAAACTGAACAGAACAGAGAGATGACCAGAGCAGCCCGAGATGCTGCAGACTCTGCTTTAGACAACACTCCTGACACACAAACGGTGAGCTTTAAATTAACACGGACAGGGTAACATTCAGGAAGTATTCGGTTTGAGTTTTAAAGTGTTGGTTTGTAGTCAGTTTAAGTCACGACTCCATTAGTTACAGCAACATTCCTATGGTTGCCACTGATGCCTGTCAGACAACCAGACTGTCGTTTTGATGTGTTGTTGCATGTTTTGACTATCTTAACAGGAGCTGGACCATGTGATGAAGCAGTTTGAGCGCTTAAAGCAGAAAAACCCGAATGCGGCGGTTCAAGGTGAAGCTAGACTTAAGAACATCATGGAGGAGGCAGAAAAGATGAAGAGACAGATGGAGGACAAACTCAAACTGACACTAGGTAGTATAACTAATTTTATTTGATTTAATTAGTCTGGCGATCATATGTTTTAATTTTAAATGATCACCATGACATTTATTGTAGTATGTACAGTAGCAGTGGGATGAAGTAATACTGGCAGTATTATATACACTAGTTGTATTTGCATTACTACTGTGTGTGTACACTGCAGATCTGGAGTTAAGGATCCAGCGGCTGATCAAGATTAAAGAGGACAAAGCAACTGAAGTTGACAAGTTGTTGGAGACAGTGGATTCACTTCAACAGGAAATCTCTAAACGAGCACAAGGATACATCAGCTGTACTGCATAAATACTACTGAGTACTACACACTGAAATACTGGGGAGTTTTTCCTTATCTGAATCGAGGGTCTTAGGCCAGAGGGTGTTGTATACTTTACAGCAGGTGTCAAGTTAAAACCACTTGTGAGGGTGCCTGGTTAGCTCAGCCAGTAGTGCACAGGCCTCTCAATCCGAGGTTTGTGTGTTTGACTCCAACAGTGCGGGAATTTATTTTCCCTCTTCTACAAATTAACTAGGAAAAGACTGTTTCACATACTCACAATAAAGTATGTGCTGTAGTGTGTGCGTACCGGCGGTTGATCCACATCCATCAACCTAAGGACTGATTTTCATTTCCCAGTATCTTCAGAAGGGGAAAGTCCTGCGCTGAACTGATCAGTCTGGTATTTTTATAGATTTGTTTTATTGTTAATCCGATAAAAAGACTAGGACTGTGTGAAATTGGTGGCCTGTACTATGAAGCGAGGGAACTGGCTTGTCCAGGTAACTTCAAGTGTAACTTCCTGATTAACCCGTACTACGAAAGGTGGATAGGTGTTAACCGAGGTCTGTTGCCATGGCAATTTACGCCGCATCTCTAAACTGTTCCGAGCAGGTTTTGTTGATGCTTAACTCGAGGTTACTCTGCAGGTGGACTACACACCACATCTGTACTCAGTGTTAATGATGAGAAGTAGGATATTAATACACACCACTTCATAAAATGTGTTTAGATTTCATCCTGACTTGTTCCACTGCGGTTGCGGCTGAAATTAAGTTATTTACGTTCAGACAGCGAGCTCTGCAGCCTCGGAGATTTTAGAGAGGAATCTTAATTAACGTGACAGTTTCTGAGATGTAGCCCATCTGTAGTCTATAATTGGATTCTCCTAAGTGTTTTCACATATTTAGATTGACTATTTTACATGTCCAAAAAACAGGGGGTCGGGGTTAAAAAAAATCCTAGATGAAAGTATGAAATTTACAAGAAGAAAAATCGTCACAAATAATATTACAATGGACCTTATGTGCAGTTGTACCTTTACATTTTAATCATATTACACATAAAAGAAGAGCCCATAAAATACATAATAGAGATTTGAACTACAATAAGAACACTGAAGATAATTAGGCTACAAATTAACTCAATGCGATGCCAACAAGCCTCCCTGAATTTGTCGGCTGCCGCGATATTAGATTTAGCCGTTTAACTTGTCTTTACATTCCTCATATCCTAACACAAACAACGTACATTCCTCTGGAGAAACAGCATGAGCCGTTGCAAAAAAGTCTGCCTGCTCGGCCGAACACGCCCATTTTATGTGAACGCACACCAACACCAATTAAGTTAACACTGACTCAACTGACCAACATCTTCTCCACCGTCGTAGTTTGACTCCACTGATTACCCCGAGTTAACTCTGAGTAGGTTGAAGTCCCTTCGTAGTACAGGCCACTGGTGTTACCCATGGATAAAGTTTAGGATCCTTGTTGTTACATCGATGATCTGCTTAATGTTTGTAAAGTGACATCTGATATTGTAGTTGGAAACAACACTTTAACTTTTACGGTCACAGAAACCTGAATAATCCTCACTGTCAGTCTAAATAATTTACTTACTCTGGTGCAGGGCAATAAGTTTGTATGTGTGTATGTGATTGCTTAAACAAGTTGCCTAAAACAGGACTTCATATAAATTTCCTCGGACGTATTAAAATGCAGTTTATTGATATAAATCTAATGACACCATACAGAGACTAAAATCCCTTATACACATTTTTTTATGATAGAATTTTAGAATAAAATGCACAATAACCTGTTGGTAATGTGTTTTTCTGTGTTTGAACTAACCTGTCTGCTGTAAACCATCTTCAAACCTGAGACTCTTCTATCGGTCTGATGATTAAAAACATAATGTCCAAACAAAGCTGCAAAGTGATTTTCAATATATAATCATGATCAACATGCCACTGCAGATGGCTGCCACTGTGTGTTTGTTTTTGTTCATAAATTCAGGTTTTTGATGTGGTACCTGGAGCTTTCTAACTAGTGAAAAGCTCATGATCAGGGGAACAACAGCAGCAGCAGATATATTTACCACTTTTCTCATGTCAGTGGAATTTGTAGTGAAACGGCGGATGAGAGGGAAACATGCTGCCGCGGACTTCCCACACCGTCATCAGGAATATTTCTCACCAATGTCCGCTCACTGTGCAGTAACCTGCATGAACATCTGCTGTACGGAAGATGGAGAGTTAGAGGGTTTGAGTTATCTCTGTGACTCCCCCTGTCCTGCACAATGACTTGGTGTCACAGAATCTCTCCTTTGCCATATTACACCTTACTTGTTTTTGTGTCCCAAAGGATTTGGGGTGTCTGTCAAGATCCTTTTATTAGAATATAAAGGTGTTTTATAATACAGTCTGTAAAAAGGTCTGGTCTAGGTGATGATTGACTGAGGTAAGTAGAGTTTTCGAACTCTACATGGCCCGCTGTTTGTCCTGAGTCGGGCTCGTGTCCTCCGCCTCCTCTCCTCTCTCCTGGTTCCAGTCTTTGAGGCCCTGAGGCAGACTCGTGTCCACCTCAAAGCTCCCCGTCCCCTCCACAAAGTCCTCGTATGTCAACTTCTCGTCGAACGGCCGCGGGCCCAGCAGCTCCAACATGTCTGCCTTGTCCAGGACCTCCTTCTCCAGGAGACGCTTCCCCACCCGAGGAAGAAGTCAGGATTTAATCCTGGGAACTAAAATACATTTCTTTACTTCTACTCCCTGGGAAAAATACCTTAGCATCCAGGAATGTTCTTTGACATGCATGTCACTGTGTCACATAGTGAACATTACTGGGTTTGTTTTAGAATTTTCCCTCAAATACAAAAGAAACAGCACTGTTAACAGGCACCGTGTCAGCAAAAGGGAGAAAAGGCTGAAATAAAATCAAACATACAATCATAAAATATCAGACCTACAGACCTCCATCCAACCAATCGGAGCGAAGAGCAGCATTCAACATCGAGTGCAGAAGTTCGCTTGTCTTTTTCCACCTCAAAGATAAAACAGCCTTCCACAACATTTCATGAATCAATATCCTCTCCTTCTTCTCTGGAACTTTTCTTCTTTGAATTTCTTTGTGTAACAAGATGGAAAAAAAAAATTGATACAGCTGGAAAATGAACCAAACTTATGCAGATGTTGAGGTAAAGCTCTTGTTTGTTGTGTCTTTTCCTTGTTTATGTTTTGCCTTCGCTGTTTCTTTTGTCTCTGGAATCCACTTGAACTTTAGAATAATTAAACGGCACACACCGTGAAGTTCCAGGAGCAGGAGACCTTAAATAACACCACATTATCTTCCACTGCAGACTGTCTCAGATGTGATGGGGGATTGGAGCTCGTCAGCTCGAGTCACGTCTGAGAACAGCTGATGTTGTTTTTAATCACATGATTTGGTGTCATTAGAAACACCATCAACTGTTTTTCAGCTTTGATACCAATCAAACACAAAAAAGCTTTTTTAGACATTAAAAAAATAATTTTGCTTTTGTTAATTTAAAAAGAAAAAAGAGAAAAACAAAAGACTTTTGTCTCATTTATAAACTGCTCTTCAGTAATTTGTGCCAGTATGCAACACTTCTTATAGAAACAATGATCAGACAATAAATAGTTTAGAATTTGGCAGCCAGACATTTAAGGAACGTGTAAATGCTTCTTATTTCTGAGGACATTGTTTTCTGATGATTTAACAGTGTTGAAGGCAGGTAATGCAGTTATTACAATAAATTAGATCAAATCTATCAGAGTGTTGAAATTGGTGTGTTGTAGCAACGTGACATCGAAGAAAAACATTTACAGAAAACAACGCATCCTAAAAATAGACCAGACCCTCCTCATAATCCACAAACACCCCCACCTTCTCAGGCTGAGACTTCAGAGAGAGACGGACTGGAGGGCCAGCAAGAGCTTCATACTCATTTTTATTCCTCAACCATATCATCCAGTAACCATCCTGAGGAGTTCGTTTTAAGCCTAATACCCTCGGTCTATTTGCATCTGTAGATTTAGTCTATATTACCCAAAACAAGCTAATCTGCATATTTACAAAGCGCATTTCAGAGGAAAATAGCCAACTCTTAATGTAAGTCATTAACTGGGGGAGTTCTGTGGTGATATGCTTTGTGATTGATTATGATTATTTTCTTTATCCCATTTACCTGCAGTGTCTTGTCAAATGTGTGCAAATTGGGGCATTTTAATTAGGCTCGTTAATGCTTAATTTGCATATCAATGTTGTGATTGTGATGACGTTATTAGACACAAACGTAACTGTTCACCTGTAGTGTCTCCATCAGTACATTAGGTTGTAAGGCCATGAGATATTGCCTTAGCTAAACTTCAGCTAACTTATTACATTAGCTCAGCTCATGAGTCATGCGTTAGCAAGACATAGGCCTATATTGTCTTCTGTTTAATTAGCGGTAAACTAGAGGCACTGGTAGTGTAGTAGCTCAGTCTAATACTGAGGGCTACTGAGGTGATTTAGCCCAGAAGTGCCCTGGCTGACGCGCTGTTCCTTTGTCTTAGTGTTACCGTACTGTATCGTTTAAGAATCTCCAGACTTTATTGTGTTGCTGATTAATAAGTTTATTTGTTTTACCGTGCAGAGTAGAATGTTCATTTAGCCTATCCAGTTTTAACGGCAAAACCATACACATACAATCGACTGTCAAACAAAAGGTTTCCGCGCCAATGCGCCACAGCGGTCAAAAACCCTTTGCCCTTCTGGGTCAAAAACACCTGCCTCCAACAGTCTGGATGCTACCTATATAACCTTGACCCCAGGTAATATTAGAGCGACACCCAATGTATAAACAAGAAACAACACCCAATATCAAAATGCACAAAACACCACATTTGGCTCCTACAGGTAGTTTAGTCTTTTGTTCATCACCACTCACCTCCACACAAACCAAGAAAAACACTGCTGGGAGAGAAGCTGGAGGGGAGAGAGAGAGAGAGAGAGAGAGAGAGAGAGAGAGAATCGGAACTCCAAAGTCTCATCTTCCGACCTGATAGCCTATTTAGATCTTTCCCCCCCAATAAATATATTTGTTTGACGGGAAATCTGTTACAAACAGGAATAAATATACGGTATATTCATTTATTAAACAACAAAAAAAAAGCAGCCTGGAAAAAGGGCACTTTCTCTTAAAGAAGAAAAAGGGCAGGTGCTGAAGCCCCTTTTGATGTCTATGTGTGCAAGTGCCTGGACAACAATATGAACTGATGAACACATGATGAAGTGAACTGTTGATGATTTTGGACTCTGAAGCAGCGAACGACTGTTAAACGGCTTCAGAGTGAAAAGTTAAAACAACAGTGACAGCAGCCAGTTGCAGCAGCTGATCACACTCATCCTCCTGCAGGTTTATGCGTCACTAAATGAACACACATTCCTCCAACCAGCTGCTCCAGATCCTTGAAATATTAATATGTAAGCGGTACTTTAATGTTGTCATTGGTCGAGGTGGAGCTAGTTTGAACTACTTCATTCACAGAAAGAAGAATCACCACCGTCTGTTGATAAAAGAGACGCTTTAATAAAACACAGACTCCAGTTTGTTCATGACGACAGGTGTGTTTGTATTAAAGTGTCAAATGTGGTCAACTCTCCTCTCTCCTGGTTCCACTCTCGGGTGTCAATCCACAATGAGTGTGTGTCTAAAGTTATTGATTGTATGCATGTCGACCAGTTAACCCTACAGCGCCACACATCGGCCGGAGATAAGGTTAACCTCCATTGTGTTGCTGTGCAGACTCCGGTAACGTCACTGACACCCGTCGGCACCATGTTCGGCTCTTGCAGAAGTTTCTCAACTCCGAAAACATTTGAACACATTTTTGATTCGCCATCATTTTTTGGAAAACTGCCGATATTCAAAATCTACACAGTTTATTTCTCGCCTCAAAACTTCCATCAGGTCTGCAGGCTGCAGCTGGATATACTTGCCCAGAGAACCTGATATGGAGAAGGCAGAGGAGAGTACGGCAGCTTGGAAGAAGTCCCGGTGCGCCAAAGAGTAAAATGTGGAGGTGTCGGTGCTGCGTACCGGAGTGTACCGCCCCACTTCAAGCACTGGTAACGAGCATGGATTAGTTCAACCTCAAGCTGATAAAAATCTTACTGTAACATTGCAGTGGGAGTTTACCTGAGTTTCCAACATGTGAAGCTGCCACCCTGTCTGTCGGTCTGTCTCTATCTATATTTTTTTTTTCGGGAGTATAGTTTTTGCTCCCTTGGAGAGCAAAAAAGACGTTATTTTCTGCTGCCTGCCAACCAGGAAGCAAGTGAGACACTGTTACTTTGAGTTTGTTAGCCTACTTTTTGTGCTGCCAAAATGCTGGATGGTTGTTGTGCTTTTGGATGCACTAATCGAGGAGGAGACAAGCCTGGGCTGTGTTAGGTGAGGGATTCCCCAGAAGGTAAAAGTAAACATTACCGCAGTCGAGCGGCGGCAGGGACCTGGCGGTTTTTAACTGTAGAAATGCGGCAGTGGATGCTGTAACGTTCTATGGATCAGATATGCCCAACACTTTTTGTTCATATCTTTCTTTTTCTTAAGTTGAAAGCTGATCCACATAAAATGTGACTGCGGCGTCTCTACGGGGAAGTTGCGGTGTTTGTCTGTTGTTTTGCCCTCCAGGGCACCGCTCATGTCACGTGACTGAAAACTATCGCTGCGCTGAATGAAATGTACGGAGCCGGCGTTGTTCTGCCTCTGAGCCGGGAACACTGAAGTAACAGAGCCTGAACATGTCTGAGTGAAAAGCCACAGCCTGCGTGCTGGTGCTTCTGCGTTTATTGCAGGATTTCTGTATGAAAGCGTTTGTGTTTGGGATTATGCTCGCTCATGAGTTCAAGCGAGCACACGCCTGGTTGCAATCTTAAAACCGCACCGCTAGTGGCCGCTGAAAACTCCATAATGCCCCTTTAATCAGACACAATAAAAACATTATTTTTTTTGTTTATTTAAAAAGAAAAAGAGAAAAGGAAAAGACTTCTGTCTCATTTATAAACTGCTCTTCAGTAATTTGTGCCAGTATGCAACACTTCTTATAGAAACAATGATCAGACAATAAAAAGTTAAGGAACGTGTAAATGCTTCTTATTTCTGAGGACGTTGTTTTGTGATGATTTAACAGTGTTGAAAAACTGCACATCGGCAATAAATTTAAATTTATTACATTAATTGTAGAAAATCAAATGGCTGTTCCACTGGTGATGATCAGAGGGGCAGAGTTTTTACCACCCTTGTTTATACAAGGACTAAAGAATGGGTAGAGTTTCTCAGTGAAGCAGCAGCCAGTAAAGGAGTAGATAAGAGCTGCAGCATCAACGTCATAAAAGGAGACCAGACCCTCCTCATAATCCACAAACACCCCCACCTTCTCAGGCTGAAACTTCAGAGAGAGAATGACCGGAGGGTCAGCAAGAGCTTGGTACTTGTTTTCATTCCTCAAACATATCATACAGTAACCTTTCTTAGGACTCGCTGTGATTTTTCCCTTCCTGTTGATCGACTCTCTGGCCACTCCTAAATCCCATTCAGTCTTCCCTTTAACCTGAACCTCGTAGTAAAATCTTCCTGAAGAGAAACTCTGCTTTGATAATATACAGGGACAATAATCAAATCTCTCTGGATTGTCCGGGAGATTCTTCTTTACATCACCACAGTTTACTTGTTTTCCATCATCAGACAGGATGAGAGCAGGATGTGCTGTATCAGGATCGAGTGTCACATCCACTGCATACTGCTGGACCCTCTTCAGCTCGGCCTCAGCGAGCAGCTTCTTCATCTGTTTACTGAGCGTCTCCTCCAGCTGATTCACAGCTCTCCTCACAGTCCCCTCATATGAAGGTGGACGGACGCTGACTTCTGTCCAGTCCTTGGTGGGTGGAGCAGCGTTCAGGGACGGGAGTCTTTGGAGGAGGTGGAGGAGGTCTTCAGAGCGTGAGAGCTGCTCCACCTCAGAGCTTCTCTTCTTCAGCTCAGAGATTTCCTGTTCCAGCTCTTTGATGAAGCCTTCAGCCTGTTTCTCTGTCTCTCTCTGCTTCTCTTTGATCGTGTCGATGAGCTCGGCCTGGCTTCTCTCAACAGACTCCTTCAGAGCGCTGAAGACCTGAACACCACCTGCTATCTCTCTGTCTGCATCTTCCTTACTGAGCTCCACTGAGCGTTTGATCTCCTGAATCTTCAGTCGTCTCTTCTGGATCATCTGCTGAGTTTCAGCCTCTGTCTTCCCCAGCTCGGCCTTCTTTCCTTCATATTCTTCTTTCAGAGGAACAACATCATGTGTCTTGTGGTCTAAAACAGTGCAGAGCATGCAGACACACATCTGGTCGGTCTTACAGAACAGCTCCAGCAGTTTATCGTGCTTCGTACACATCCTGCCTTCCAGGTTCTCCACAGGGTCGATCAGCTGATGTCTTTTCAGGCCTGCCATTGTCAGATGAGGCTCCAGGTGAGTCTCACAGTAGGAGACCAGACACACCAGGCAGGACTTCAGGGCCTTCACTTTGGTTCCAGTGCAGACGTCACAGGGAACTTCTCCTGGTTTGGCAGCTTGTTGCTCTGAGCTGCTGCTGCTGGCTTTCTGTTGAGCTGACTGTCTGAACTGAGCAGCCATCTCAGAGATGAAAGTGTTGACCTGCAGCTCAGGTTTTGAGTAGAAAACCTTTTTACAGTTGGGACACTGATACGGGACATTAATATTCCAGTGTTCAGTGATGCAGGTTTTACAGAAGTTGTGTCCACATGGTGTGCTGACTGGATCAGTGAACACATCCAGACAGATGGAGCACAGAAACTGATGTTCAGTCAGCAGACAGCTGGCAGCAGACATATCCACACTCTGAGGACAACAAGTGAGATAAGCTATAATTACATATCTTCTGTTTTTGGCAGGTATTATAATTTCCAAAGATAAAAAGGTTAGAGAAACATCCAACATAGAAAATATCATTCAGAACAATAGAGCTATTCTTAACAGTTGGCTTCAAAGAGACTTATCTGTTTTTGGACGCATTTTACTTACTAAAATGCAAAGCTTGTCAAGACTAACCTTTCCAGCCTACTCATTGGATATACCCGACAAATTAATTAAGAAGGTTCTCCACTACTGGAAACTCATATACAAACGTAACTTTACTCCTCACAACGTCCCAATATGGAATAACAGAAGTATATTAATTAAGAGGAAATCTTTTTTTCTACGGTGAATGGATGGAAAAAGGTGTCTGGTCGATTGTTCATTTATTAGATAATTGTGGTAACTTCTTAAGATATGATGTCTTCATTCGGAAATACAGTTTGATGTGCACTGAGAGGCAATTTAAAACAGTAATTCAGGCAATCCCACAAGCTCTGATCACTTTAGTAAAAGGTATGTTAACATACTCTGAGCCCACGTTACTCATAGATACATGTAATTTCTTAGATAAAAATAAATGTAATCATACATTTTTTAGAAATGTCCTCACTTCGATCTGCTTCCCCTCACCACTCAAGAGAAAACATATCTTCCAGAAATTTACCAGCAATTGTATAGTGAAGATAAGAACCAGTTACCTTTCTTTTCCTGTTTCAACAGAGGTAAAAGTTCACTTCAAAGTGATGAATGAGATTTATCCATGTAACAACTTCCTGCATCAAAGATTTAATGTGGATGTGAATGTTTGTACAGACCTTCTGGACAATACACAAAATATCCCAATTTTAACATATGAATATGTTAAATTTGGACTTCAAATGGAGAACCAAAGAACTGAATTTGGAATGAATAATCTGATTTTAATGGCAAAATACTTCATACACAAATGTAAATTTCTTAAAACATCCCCCGTCTTTAATGCCTTTCTAAATGATATAATTCTGTATAAAGAATCCCTGAAATGTTGCAAAACAAAAAAACCCCCTACTTTTTCATGAATACTTATGGAAACTCATCTCCTAGTGTCTACTGCTGAGTCCCTTGTTTTCTTTTCCCTTTATTTATCCTTGTTTGTCCCTTTTATTTATTTATTATTATTATTATTTTATTTTTTCTTTCCTTTTCTTTTCTTGGAAAATTATCAATATGGTACTCCGTGATATGAATGCAATGTGCCTTGTTGTATGTTTGATATGAATCTTTAAAAATAAAATAATTGGAATATATATATATATATATATATATATATATATATATATATATCCAGCTGCAGCCCGCAGACCGCAGAAAAACGTGACGGAATTTGAACTTCCAAATATGGTTTGTCCCAGAAGACACCGCGCACAAAACGTGATGTTCAACTTCCGTCACGTTTGTCTGGTTTTTATATACAGTCTATGGTTTGTCTGAAGCTGCAGCTGGACCCTTCTCCCAGCCCTACTGAACATTAAAGTTACATCCTGTTGCCTCCTCCTGTTTGTGTTGAGAAAATGTTGCCAGGTGTAAAACACTAACATAACATCAGGAGCTTCTAAACTTCCAGGACTGTAGGTTACCAATCGCCTGCATTTCAGTTATTAATACTGTAACACTGCATGAGAGATGTTCTTAATTTAATTTTCACTAAAACTTGAGAGTTGATGACACAGTTCAGTTTATTCCCCTTCTCAGTAACAATTTCCCCTGGGGGATAAATAAAGCTAATATTCATCTTATATGAACGAATAATAGACGTATAATTGTTAATGTAATTAGATATTGAAAATCAACTTAAGTAAGAACTAGTGTTGTTGAATTAATTAATGCATAATATATGTGATAATCGTGAAACCGTGATTATTTCTCTAACTATGATCATACCAACAAAATCTGTAATCGTCCTACTCATCACAGAGACAAATTTAACAGATTATCTGATCCCCAATTTGGAACACAAGTGTATAAAATAATAAAGTATTTTGTTTGTGCTCTTCTAAACTCTTCTACATTAAGTCCAGATTCTTAGAAATATCATTGTATTTTAAATGATCAGAGTAGCCTTGATTATGTCATGAAGCAGTTAAAAAGAAAAACCTTTTCTGTAAACTGATCACTAGCTGAAATAATTCATGGAATTATGGCCCAGCATATTTTTGGTTAAGCTTACACTAAAATTGCTATACCTGCATGGACAAATCTTTAGGCTTTTTGTAAGCTTGATGATTTGTACAGTTACACTCACACAAACTAATCATGTATTCCTTTTTTAGGATGAGTTGGGGCAATCCAGGAGGGAGCAGTGGCTCTGGTGGCAGCAGTCAATGAAGAGGAGGTGCCTGCAGGAGTTCCCTTTGAAACTCACCAGTGTCAATCGTGCTTGAGGCTCAGGTTGTACTGTCTCACATATCTTGGACAGATTCATTGGTGATTTATTTATTTTTGGACTGATAAATGCTCTCCATTTGAGCTATCCTGAGAAACTAAGTGGCTTCTTTGAGTTTGTCCAGGCTGTACTTTTAAACCTTAAGCAGCTCAAACCTAAGTTACATGGCTTGAGAAAAGAGCTAGAGTAAAGGTGTCCACAGGTTCTGTTGTTGAAGATAAGCAGTGTTCTGAAAATTATATTTTGGCTTGCATGCCAAAAACTGCTTTCTCTTTAGATTGTTGTGTGTTGAAACTGGTACTTGTCTACATAATTACAAATGGGTCGGTTTACTTCACCTGGAGGGAGAAACACAAGCACAAATTAATAGTGTTGTAAATCTTTCAGTTTACAGGTATTTTTGTGCCAGTAGAAAAAGTACGATCAGTTATTGAAAATATTGGACCTCAGCTGGTATGACATACACATTTTTACACTACAAAAGGTTTTATGAGTCTAGCTGTGTATACTTCTATCAAAATCTGACTATTAAAACTCACTTTACAATTCTATATTTAGTAATAATAAAGACGCTCTAAAGAGTTTCTCTAAATTTCCTTCAAATGTTGTGAGGTAAATTTTCTTTCTTTCTAAATGTTGCCTCACAAATGACACATTATTTGGTACAAAACCTTTCCCAGAACAGTTTATTACAGTTGTTTGAAATGATCAGATGGTGTACTGTCATCATTGAGATAAATATTCTATGTTTTATTTCTTTAACTTGAATTGTAACTTTTTTTTATTTTTCATATTTATCAGATAAACTAAAACTAAGCAAATTCAAAAATACTAGTATACAGTAGCACACTGTATGTGACACGATAAACGACAGTTCAAATACTGTATTACCACAATTAATTTATTTATATTATTTTAATTTAACAGTTTTTTCAACATACACTTTCTGTTGAAAGCTGTGGACATTGAAATGTTTTAACATTGATACGTAATTCAGTCATGAATGTTTAGCATTCAACTAAATAAATAGTTAAAGTTTAGTGTCAGACGTGTGTGTTTATATTGTGTTAATGCAACTTAAAAGGTTTAAGGCAATCGGTTTCCTCAAATTAATTGTGTAGCCGCAACAGATTTTAAAGTTGTCAGAACTAAAACATAATAATTTGCTTTAGTGGAAATAAACTGAGTAAATAAAACGTAAGGGGTAACATTTGTGTAAAGAAGATGGATTTAATTTAGTCTTACTTAAATCATATAAATTCTAATAACACATTTTTAACAAGTTTGGAGAAATGCATCATTTGAGTGCAGAATACTTCATAGATTTAAGTTGAATTAACTGAATAGAACTGGTACTATACACTTTATTTACCCAACTTACCATAACAATAAGTACGTGAGTTACTTGGACACAATTCAAAAGATTATTTAAATTGTTTGAGTTAATAAACTTAACTGGTTTAGGGCAGTCGGTTTCCTCAAATAGTTTGAGTTGAACTAACTCATCAGGTTTTAAAGTTGGAAGAGTTAATCAGTATGATTTAGTGACGTCAGGCGTTCATGTTACATGTTAAACGTGATAAATATGGTGTTTGTGCAGGTCTGTATACTATATGAATAATGGATAACCAAATTCCCCCAGGCGTAATTCTGGCTCGCATTAATTAGTTGTCATAGTAACCAGCCATAATTAAACATTTGGGGAAACATATGTGACTGGTCTGCAGTGTAGAGTGTTAGCTAGTGTTGTTTCACTGTTAAAGTTGATCTGAAAACTTTTCATGTAGTTCAGCTGAAGGCTGGAGCAGATATGACGTGAGGCAACGAGCACGCCAGAGTCCGCTAACTGAGCTTCCTGTCAATTTCCTGCTTTGAGCAAATTTTCCAAAGGTCAGACTGAGTTTGTTTGTTTGGTGGATTTTCTGACACTGAACAAGTCGAGGTGGATCACTCTGCCTTTTGTTCCCTGTGGTTTTACATCATGTTTTAGGGCAACCTCTGTCACATCGCATAGTAAATTTAATTTAAAGACCTTTAGACCAGAGAGTCAGTTGGACAAAGAGGAGGCGCAGAGAGAGAAGATGATGATACAGAGAGCGGAGAATCAGACACATTAAATGTGCAGAAGAAAAGAAGGAAGCTGCTCTGGACTGCAGGAAACTGTAACAGCGTCTCTCTACAACCCCCACAGCCACCGATGGAGCTCAGTTAAAAAAGGCTACCGCCCTGAGAGGAACTTACTGTCTGAGTTGAGCTCAGATTTTAATTAATACCAGAAACAGGTTGGAAAAAAGCGGTAAATTAGCTTAAGTTTTTCATATGTTTAATCTGGTAAAACAGAGCAGTCAGATTTTGAATGAAATTAAACTTTGACCAAATACTGAGTCAGAGCATTTTGGCTTTGTAGGGCCGTGTACTCACCAGGGTTTGGCAGAGATTCTGCTATTCTGTTGAGAAAAACCTGATGGATTCAGTTGAAAGTTTCTTCAGAGAGAAACAGAGAGACTTGTCTCGACTGCAGCTCTGCTGTTGCTCAGACACACTTTCACTTTCATTTGAGGAAATGTGACGTTGCAGCTCTCCTCTTTCACTGTTGCTCCTCCTCTCAGTGTAAAAGTAAGGTATAACTTTTGGGAACTTTTGTCAGTCAAACTGCTTATATTCCTTGGATTCAGGTTTTTAAAAAGTAATTTTGCTATCAGCACCAAAACTCAGGTATAATATTGGAACTACTATAAAAATGTTGACAACAATGTTCCTCAGCAGTGAGTGGTCTGTTTTCCTTAATGGCAGTGAACATAACCCCACAGTGAAGTGCAACAGGATGAAATCCCAGTAGGTGCAGCGGCGGCCGGAGTCGTGCCACTCCTACCACCCAAAGGTCAGTGCTGAGTTCTCCAACTGTCAGCAGACATTTAGACAACAATATGATAAACACATGATGAAGTGAACTGTTGATGATTTTGGACTCTGAAGCAGCGGACGACTGTTAAACGGCTTCAGAGTGAAAAGTTAAAACAACAGTGACAGCAGCCAGTTGCAGCAGCTGATCACACTCATCCTCCTGCAGGTTTATGCGTCACTAAATGAAAACACTTTCCTCCAACCAGCTGCTCCTTTGTAGAAATGTGTTCACTAAATATTTACAGGCAGTAACCAGTGATGGAAGAAGGATTCAACTCATATACTGAAGTAAAAGTAGCAGTACCACAGTATAAAAATACTCCATTACAGGTAAAACTCCTGCGTCCAAGTAAAAGTACACAAAATGTACTTAAAGTATCAAAAGTAAAAGTACTGATGCAGAGTGGCTACTGTCAGTGTTTTATTATTATAGTATTGATCATTATTATTGATATATTAATATGTAAGCGGTACTTTAATGTTGTCATTGGTCGAGGTGGAGCTAGTTTTAACTACTTCATTCACAGAAAGAAGAATCACCAGCGTCTGTTGATAAAAGAGACGCTTTAATAAAACACAGACTGCAGTTTGTTCATGACGACAGGTGTGTTTGTATTAAAGTGTCAAATGTGCCGCTGAGGACACGACGACCTCAGGTGACCTTTACACGTCTGTCAGCTCTTTTAGTTGAGTGGAGGGAAAAAGAGAAAGTTATACCTCCACTGGTAATTATTTTCTCTAAAAGGTCAAATTAAACTTCTTTTTCTAGTCAGATTATTTAGTGGAGCATATTGTCGTCACGGTCGACAGTCTCAGATCCAACTTTCAGTAAACCAACAAAAATATGGTCCTGGAGTACACCTGTACATCACTGCAGCAAGGTGAGAAGTTAAACCACTGAAGGTCAAAAACAAGACGTTCAGGTTAACTTACTCTAAACTTCTTCTTCTTTGTTGAACATGTGTTGTACTTTCCAGCTGAGTTGTAGAGATCCAGGAAACGTGACTCCAGTAAAACAGCATCCAACAAATTGTGACGAGCGAGCCTCCTACAGCTTCATACAGTTTTACTTCAGCACATGACTGACAGCTGGCAAACAGAAGGTTAAAGGTAAATACATTTATATAACCTCCATGTTTCTGTCATCACGTGAGGTCACAGGAGGGCGGAGCTTCAGCAGGAAATACAGTTCATGTACAGGAGCGTTCAACTGATAACTGATGTGTTTGAGGCCAACATTAAACCTGATAAACCTCTGAAGCAGCGTTCAAAGACTCACGTGACACTAAAGTCTGCAGCTCTTTCAGATTCAGCAGCTGTTTAACATCAAGTCTCTTCATTGGTCAGTCGGACCGTCCTGCTGTTAACAGACTGCAGGAACACAGATTCACAGCAGCTGCATGTTCACACTCTGCACACAGTCAGTGACGTCGCAACCTGCTGGACAACTGCGATGACACTAACGTCACATTAAAAAGACAAAGTTTCCTAAGCAGTGTTAATTGTTAAAACAAGTTAATAATACTGTGCAAACTTGTGATTTTATTATCAAGTGAATTTAAGAATTGCATGATAAGTACAGATCTATATCCAATGATAACTAAACCAACATGGGTGACCACACATAGTACAACTATTATTGACAATATATTTACAAATATACGTGGTAAACTAATTAGTGGTATATTTATGACAGATGTGAGTGATCATCTCCCTGTATTTATAATCTGAGAAAAAATCTTACGACACTGTACAAGATGAATTTACAACCTTCATTCGAGAATAATCTAGTAAGGCTTTAGAGGCCTTCAGAGAAGATTTGAAGAAACAGTTGGGATAGAGTGTACACAGATAATGTAAATACTGCATATGAGGTTTTCATGACAATATTAAATAATCTATATGATAAAAATTGTAAAATAACCAAAGCAAATGTTCTTACCAAGAAAAATACTGTTAAGAATCTATGATGACAAATGGACTGAAAAATGCCAGTAAGAAAAAAAACTATTTGTACCGATTGTTTTTAAGAGCAAGAACCAAAGATGCTGAAATTAGGTATAAAAAATATAAAAACAAATTAGTTTGAATCATAAGAAGGCAAAAGAAGGATTACTATACTAAATTGTTAGATAAAAATAAGAATAATACAAACGTATTATAAATTCTGTTATGTTAAGGTAAAAACAAAATTTCCAAATCAGTTTACAAAGAACAATGTTGATATTTGTAACAAACTTGAAATTGTCAATGAATTCAATAATTACTTTGTAAATATTGGCCCTACTTTGTTACAACAAATACCAATGGTGGCACAATACCAGATAATGTTAGCAGTGTTTTTCTTGAAAGTATACAAGCTAGTGACAATTATCCAGAAGTGTGCCAATAAAAAATCAAATGATTATAATGATATGAATATGGTATTGATAAAGCAAATTATTGATGTGATTATTGAGCCTTTTACCTATATCTGTAATTTGTCATTTACTTCAGGGATATTTCCAGACAATCTGAATTTTCTAATTATAGACCAATATCATTACTTCCACAGTTCTCTAAAATTCTGAAGAAGTTATTTGCTATTAGACTGAATAAATTTCTAAATGATTTTAAGATTTTAAGTAAGTCAGTATGGGTTTCGTCCTAATCATTCAACTGCTTCAGCAATTATGGAACTACCTGAGGAAATTACCAATGCTATAGATAAAATGCACTATTTAATAAGTATCTTTGTGGATCTTCAAAAAGCATTTGATACGCTGGATCACAAGATATTATTGAATAAATTATATAAATATAGTATCAGGTGTGGCATACCAATGGGTTCCCAGCTATTTAAAAAACAAAAACAATTGTCGAAATTGAAAACACAAAGTCTAAAAATTGTAACATAACTTGTGGGGTACCACAAGGATCGGTCCTAGGACCTATACTTTTTCTTCTATATGTAAATTATATTGTGTTTGAGTCTCAGATACTTAGGTCCATTCTGTTTTGCGGAAATTATGAAGTTGTTCAATGCCAATAGATTGTCCCTGGATATCAGCAAAACTAAATTTACGATATTTTTTAGTAAAAAGAAATGTTGAAACGTCGTTGTTAATCAATGGATTGGAAATTGAAAGGGCACATGAGATTAAGTTTCTAGGTGTCATGATTAGTGAACATTTGACATGGAAATCACATATTGATAATATCAAAGGTATCCCAAATAATAGGTTTGCTGTATAAAGTCAAAGATTCTCTAAATAAGAATGCATTGTTTTTGTTGTATAATTCATTGATTGTTCCATATCTGACTTATTGCATTGAAGTGTGGGGAAGTGCCTGCAAAATATACATTAATCCAATTTTACTCTTACAGAAAAGAGCGATTAGAATTACCAGTGGAAGCGGATACAGAGATCCAACTAATCCGCTATTCATACAACTAAAAACTCTGAAATTTAGTGAATTAGTAGAATATAACCTTCTAAAAACCATGTATAAAGCTCATCTGGAAAGCTTACCAAACAATTTGCAAAACAGATTCACCAAGAGGAAAAATATAAATGAACTAAAAGGTACTGAGGTTTTCACAAAACCCAGGTTGTAAAGAAAAAATGTATCACAATTGAAGGAGTCAGTTTGTGCAACAGCCTTGATTGTAAAATTAAAACTTCTAAGTCCATTTATGTGTTTAAGAAGTATGTTAAAAAATCAATGCTGCAGAAATATAATACTGCAAAATAGCAGATCAATTTTATTGATGTAATTTTGTGTTTTGAAGTCTTAGAAAAAGAGACGGCTGCATGAGACAGCTCGAATGAATTGGAACTGTAAATGATTTTGTGTTGATAGGGGGCAGACATAAGTTTTTACTTCTTTCTGCTCCTTTTCATTCATGTTAAATGCTGTCGTTGCATTGTTTTAAATGAATGAAATAAACAATTTAAATACAATTTTTTAATAAATATTACTGATGTTTCTGCAGGTCCTGAAGTCTAAAATGGCTTCAATTAAAGGCCTGAAATTTAGAAAAAATCCCATGAAAATCTTTTCTTGGTGTTAAAATGTACAGAAATATTTTATTTTATTTGTCTTCTTGTGTACTTTTTATCCACTGATTTCTGGCTTACAATCAAGCAAGTCTTACTTTGATTTAAATTCAATTCTTAAATTTTAATCTTCTATTTGATTTGGAACCAGTCAAATGAGCGTGTACTTCTACTTTTTAACCTTTTAATTTTTTTTTTTAAAAACATTGTTTTTTTAATTTTTAAACTTTAAATAACCTACATTCTGCTACGTAGGTGGAGGTTTGCAATCTGCATTTTAACCCTGTAGCTGTCGTTTCAGGGACTAAAGACACAACAACTGAATTCCACATATCAGGACACGTTGTTGTATTTTATCTTTTATGTTAGAAGACTTTTCAGAGAGGAACACTGTGCACTG